AGAGAGTCACACATTTTGAAGAAAGAGATGCAGGAATTGCCAAAGATGCCAAGAGAGCTCATAGAAAGATTCACAAAAGAGACACATTTGAACTTTCGCTGTAAGTCAGATAGGAGAGGAGCATACTTGCTGTGTTTTCTTGTTGCATTTGTGTCAAGATTGGATTCAAAACCAACAGTAAGCTCTAAGATGTATAGGTAATTGTTGTTAGTCTTCAAGAGAAGATCTGGGCGAAGGTTTTCTCCAGTTATGATTGATGGTGAAAGATAGCCAGGTATATCAGCGTAGATGGTAGATTCATTAACAGCTTTAAGAGACGTAGCTAGAAAGTTTAAGATAGAGTTATGACGCCAGGTGTATCGGCCTTGTTCCAGGTATGTTTTGCAGCCAGCAACAACGTGAAGGAGGGTTTCTGGCAGAAAACAGAAAGAACAATCAGAAGTCTGGCTCAAGTTCCACTTTTTCAAGTTTTTCTGTGTAGCAAGGGTATTGTTCAGGTACCTTATGGTGAAATTGAAAATATTCTGAGGCATGCTACTTTGCACCTTGGACCAAAGTTTGTTTATTTGTGAAAGATCCTGGTTAAAAAGATGTGACAATAAAGATCCTTGGGAAGTTAGAATGTTTTGCAGACGATCTTTATGTTCTTGCTGGACAGCCTTTAATGCTTCTTTCGTGTTCCTATATATATCATATTGTATATTTGTGCTACTGCTGGTATTTTTCCATAAAGAGCGAATGTTATCGTTTGGTGAAGATTTCAATGCGTTGCGTAAAATAGTTTGACACTGTAGGAATTTGGCGGATGGTAAAGTTAGGCTGAGTCCAAACTGGTTTTTAGAAAGAATAATGCTACTCAAGGTAGCACTTATTGGGAGGTCGAGCCACTGGCGGATGTATTTGGATACGAGGCTGTCAAGATTCTCGACAACCCACGTCTTTGAAAGATCTGCTACAGTAAGGTTCCAAGAGATTTTAGAAAGAACAAAGTTGTGATAAAGAAGCAACTTATTTTTTGCATGTAGAGGCTGGGAATCAATTTGCTTGAGCATGTTGGACAGTGATGATAAAAGATCAGATTTATGTTCTTGGTTTGTCATTTCAAAGTCAAAATGACGACCGAGGTACTTAAAAGAATTTCCATTCGAGACAGGTGGGATAGATTCGTTGTTTATGAAAAGCTTAGGTTGATACTGAAGAGAACGTGTGGAAAATTTCTTTATTCCAAAAGTGATGCATTTATCGACACGTATGATCATGTTAGCCCATTGGCACCAGCGAGTGAAACAATTTAGTAGAAGTTGGTTTTCTTTCTCATTGCTGGTGATAACGGCAGCATCGTCTGCGAATTGAAACCAATGGACTGGTTGAAACATACGGTCGTTCTGATCATGTGGGGAGAAACCTAACTGTTTGTATTTTTCAGCTTTTATGTACTGTATGAATGTGTTGAAGCATAGATTAAATAGTAGAGGACTGAGGCAGTCGCCTTGAAGAACACCGCGACGGACTGGAATAGCAGGAGTATTATAGTGGCTTGTGATGATAGAGGTTTTAAAATCGGTGTAAAGGCTAGAGATAAGAAGCTGTATGTTGTCAGGGATATGATGATAAGACAGTACAGTGGGTATCAAATTATGATGTACTTCTCCAAATGCATTTTTAAGATCGAGAAGAGTGACAACTAGTGAACGTTGCTTGATACGAGCTTTGTTTATGACCTGAGCCATCATGGCAGTATGCTCTAAGGTCCCTGAAATATTAGAGGTGAAGCCTTTTTGTATTTCGTGCTCAATGAGACCATTAACTTTAAGAAAATTAAATAGACTGTCACGCAGGCATGATGTGAAGATTTTCAAAGGCACTGGCTCAAGAGTGATTGGCCTGAAGTTTGCTGGATCGTCATTGCTACCCTTTTTGTGAATTAGGATAGTGCATGCCTTTTTCCACTCTAAAGGAACTTTTCCAGAGAGCCAGATATTATGAATGATATTTGTTATCAAAGAGCGTAAATATGGACATCGTTTAAAAACAATGATGGAAATTTTGTCACGGGGACATGGAGTGGCTGAAGATTTCATACGCCGAATTACTGATGTGATCTTTTCATAAGAAGGAGGCTCCAAAGGAAAAGGGTGGTCAGGCTCCCTAAGAGATGGAATCCATGAAGGAATAGAAAAGTTTTTGCATGGCAACAGAGAAGAAAACATTTTAAAGAAATACTGAGAGCATTGATCTTTGGAAAAGGATGGCAGCAGAGTCGAGCTTGTTTGGAGAACGCGTTTGACGTATCCCCAAAAACTCTTTGAAATGAAGTTATCGTGATTTGAGATGTTTTTAACTACGGTAGAAGCAGATGAGTTAAGTCGTTGTCGTAAAAGCCGTGAAACGTATTTAATTTCAATGATAGGTGCGCCGTTTCTTTTCAATAACTGTAGTTCTTTTTTCAATTTTTTGGTAGCATGGTCTTGATATTTTGCAGCAAGTTCTTCATTTACTTCTTCTACAAATCCGCAAGTATCTCTGAAATAATTATAAATTACTTGATTCATTGACTGTATGGATTGATCAATTGAGGACAGGTCCATGGGGTTGATTGTAAAAAAGTATTTGAAGTATTCGTTAGCGACAGTCCATTCTTCGTTTGACCTTGGAAGACAAACGCCAGGTTTCAGTTCAAAATATTCATTCAAAGAGATATCGGCCAGTACAATCTCATTGTCTAGGGTTTCCTCTGATACCTGTTCGAAAGTGTCGTCACTTTGGAAACCGCTAATGACTCGACATCTCCTTTGATGCATTTTCAATCCTTTCATCCCCTTGCATTCTTTACCACAGGAGCATTTGACAATTCTTTCGTTGATGACAGACGCGCTTTCATTTTCTATTTCAATAAATGGAATGTTAATTGATCCCGACGGGCCACTGTCATTGTTGTCCAACCGTCGCTTGCACCTCCATGTATGGCGGCCTAAGGCCTGAAATTCTTTACCGCAGAACGAACAAATTCCGAAAAACAGCAATATCCAAAGCACGAACGAACGAAACATATTCAAAAAAAGATACTTTGTTGACACAATAAAAAAATAAGTAGTATTTGAATCCGTTGATGTAAGTATCCAGGCAGTTAAATAGCTATAAAACGAGAGCCGTGCACGATGGCATCTGTGCGCCAAAGCTCAACGACCAATAATGATAATAATAATAATAATAATAATAATGAAAACATTTTTTATTTTATATTCTTCTACTTACAACAGTAACCTCACTTTACAGGTAGTTACTATCGGCTAGCCTGGTGACAAGTTTACTAATTTTACAAAAGTTATAACATTTAAATAAATCATATGAGTGCAAAGAATCTTTAGAAGGAGAGCAGTTCAGGGTTTGTCCAAGTCTTATTGCGCATACAGAATATATAATAGGATGTGCGTATAATTATTGCTGACAGTTTTTCAATTATAAAATTACGGTGTTGGTAGTCAATAATAATAATAATTATAATTATAATAATAAATTTATTTAAAGTTGGCGCTACATAGCTATTTACAGCGAAATGAGTTAATCCAAGCCAACTGTTAAAACTACTACATCAAATAAATACATAGGAGATTAAATACATAAAATTTTAAGTACATAATAATCCAATTAAAAACAGAATTTATAGGGTAGTACTATAAAAATCTGAGCTATTTAAAACGATAGAATTACAAAAAACCAAGCTGTGGCACGAACGTCCTACATAGTTTGCATATACAGTCTGTGCCATTCCAGCTTTTAATTTCTTTCTTAAACTCATTAATAGATTGAGCATTCCTTATGTGCTGAGGTAAAGAGAGCCAAAGACGCTGCCCTCTATATTTGATAGTTTCGGTTCCATAAATGGTTGTTCTTACCCTTGGTACTATAAATTCATTATTATTTCTCAAATTATAAACAGCATGACGCTCGCAGAAAATCTCCCTCATAAAAGGAGGGTTGATATTTTCCTTTGTTTTAAACATTTCAATCATAAGATTTCGCAGGTGTTTTACATGAATATTTACCGAGCCATCATTTTCTAGCAGAGTGTTGAAGCTAGAGTCATAGTCTTTGTATGCAATTCTCAGAGCTCTTTCGTGTATTCTATTAATCTTACTATTCACGTGCCTACTGTGGAACATCCAGACCAGTGGACAGTATTCAAATTGGCTAATTACAAAAGCTCTCATTAAGATTTTAAGTTTATTAGCGTCCATGTATCCAGATATGCGAGCGAGGGCGATGAGTTTGCTACCAGGCTTCTTACATAACTTACTGATATGTGTCTCAAAACTGAGTCTTTTGACTATCACAACACCTAGCTTTTCCTCTTCTGAGTTTTCTATGATAGAATCTCCTACATTAACTTTGACCTGCTGATTAGAACTTTTGCCAAGAATAAGTAAATGACATTTGTTTGTATTCAACTTCATAAAGTTATCAGCGAACCATTGGATAGTCATTCTCTAGCCTTGCAATTACATTAATGAAATTTTTATCGCACGCATATAGAGTTGTATCATCCGCGTAATTGCAGATATCCGTATCCATTAAGGAGAGAAGTAAGTCATTAATGTAGATGTTAAAGAAGAGGGGACCAAGAACTGATCCTTGCGGAACACCAAGGAACAGTTGTTTGTAGGTACTGAATGATCCATTAATCTTAACTCTCTGATGCCTATTTTCCAAGTAGCTGTTAACAAGACACAGTGCTTCATGGCTGAATCCGTAAGCATTTAGTTTTGCTAGAAGGAGGTCATGTTTAATACAATCAAAGGCTTTCGAGAGGTCCATAAAGATTGCGCCAACATTTTCTCCCCTGTCTAAGCTTGCTTTCCATTTTTCAAGCATTCGAACTAATGCGTGCAGCACATTGTACCCTTTAACCATTCCCTCATCTCCTTAGGGGCTATCATAAACTATCATTCACTGAAGGAGAAACTCTTATATGATTCTCATATATATGTTTTTATTCAAAGTGAATGGAGGATGGAGCGGATGGGGGCCATTTGGTGCTTGCAGTAAAACATGCGGAAGCGGAGTGATGCATCAGTACAGGCAATGCAACAATCCATCGCCGGCGAACGGAGGAAGCTACTGCCCAGGCACCAATGTCAACTCAGTGCCATGTAACACACACAGCTGTCCGATAGGTACTGCACTGTTTTGTTTATATAACGTAGAGGGGAAATGCTATGAAAGAGAACATAAAAATAGTGATAAACGAGAAATAATGGTAAATATTAGCTGACAGTTGTGCGAGAGGTAAATTCCACAGGAAAGGTGATATATTCCAACAACTGCTTTACAAACTAACCAGATAACTGAAATTTATCACAATCTGTGCGAGTAACATCCACAATATCTTCAATATCCAGCAACTTGGAATAACTGAAGTTGTTCGGAGTAACTGCAATAAATTTTAACCAACCACTGATATGTCCATAATAAATAACAATTTTTTATGATAGGTTGGCTTCTCGTCCAGTTGACGCTGATAAATGCCAACCAAAGCTTAAATACATGTTAATGCCAAATTAGACCCAGCTTATAAGAATATTAATCAATTCTAGAATTGTGAAAACTCTACATTCTTGACATATCGATTGCAACTGTAAATTAAACTTGTTACATGCTCGTTATCAGGAGCGGTGATGTCAAAGCAGTTGTGGCTTTTATGGCAGAGTCGTTTAACATTTTTCCAGAAAATTTTCGGACAGTGAAGATAAGACAATCATACTACACATGACAATTTTTTTAGGTAATTATTTTGTCAGCTGGTTTAGAGCGTAAGCCAAAGAAAAATATCATTAATTAGAAATTTTGATTCATCGATAAGATCTCTTTTTGTCCTAGATGGAGGATGGAGTGGATGGGGATCCCCACAACCATGCAGTAAAACTTGCGGAGGAGGTGTCATCTTGCGTCACCGCTCTTGTACTAATCCAAGCCCGGCAAATGGTGGTAGGACTTGTCCCGGCTCGTCGACTATGCCAAGTTTCTGTAACGTACATGGCTGTCCAGGTAATCTTTGAGAATCCTTTAAGTGCCTGGTTAAGCCTGGTTTCCATATAGCCGTAAGGCTGCCTGCGACTGCCTGCGACTGCCTGCGACTGCCTGCGACTGTTTTCTGCCATCTTCCATCTTCCACCCTTACAGTATTGCCGGCAAATGGAAACGTTCTGTTTGCAATTGCCTGCGGTATCGGTAACTATGCCGGTAACTAGGTAAAGTTTGAGCGGGAAAAACTGGCGGGCAAAATTCAACAACAAAACCCTATTTCAATTGGTTCTTGTACATCACATGATTCGTTTGAACAAAAGAATGCCGCGGGCAAGGCGTTTCCATTTGTAATTTGTCTGCCGGCGGTACCGGGCGGCTGCCGTAAGAGCCGGGAAAAGTTGAACTCGTTCAACTTTCTCCCGGCTCTCCCGGCAGTCTTACGGCACTTCAAACAGCTGCCTGCGGTACCGTTAGAAAGCGTTTCCATAAAGAGTTATCTGCCGGCGATACCGTAGGGGTTGAAGATGGCAGAAAGCAGTCGCAGGCAGCCTTACGGCTATATGGAAACCAGGCTTTACATGAAGTGGGCTAGCCCACTTGAGTGGGCTTGTTCTCGCAGGTGAGGTCGTATTCACAAGTAATTTCATGAGGATGCAATTTATCCCATTCAGATTGGATGGCCTCTCATTTGAAAATTGTAGATGTGGTTCTTTTAGTTCCTGGCGCCAAAATAATGAGTATCAGTTTTCCTCAACAATTGTGAACAACAACTGGATGTATCTGGCCGTTTAATTCTACGGTATGCTCGGATTTGTATTGTAGTTGCATGTAACTCTGATTTTATATTCGATCTATAAAAAGAATGCGATCGACTGGTTCGTGTCATTTCGATTGAGGATACGTAATTTTCTATGTCTCTGTACGCTTCTGCTACGGTTTTAGCAGGAGCCCGAACTATTGTTGCCGATTCATACGACCTTATGATTTAGTTTTGCGCCCACTTCCTCTATGAAAGTGCATTGACTTTCAGTGAGTGGGCTAGCCTACCTGATTGCGTTTACATGGATATAATTTCCATCCCACCTGATGCGGATCCCATCTATAATTCTCGCGGATCTCACCACCCATATAAACACCAAATACAGAAAAAAGGAAGGTATATAAAGTACGGATCCCGCTTGAGTTAACCAGCCCACTTCCTGTAAACAAGCCCTTAGGCCCGGTTAACACTTGATACAGGATAGCATCGGGGTGCTGATTAAACCATGCCACATCTACCCGGTACCAGATTCCCTGCAAGTCGGACTAAAGTCACTTCGCTTTACCGGTGGCAGGAACATCACTACAGCACGGTTGCGGCACGAAGAAACCATGATAGCCTTTGGCACAATCTGGATTTTTTAGCAAATGCTATCCGATGGCAGAAACCGCCATAGTTTAGAAAAAGGAAGGACGTTTTCACCCTTAGACTCCATTAGAAATATTTTCAAGGAATGCTGTTTGCTGCCACGCAGTCCTTTGTGGGGTCTATGGACACTTCACAGAGTTATCTGATATGGTGATATAATTGTCCCACCCAGCAAGGACCACTCCGTGACAGGACTATAGCTATTCGCTATTCAAATGAGGCCTTGAAAAAAAAACTCGACTTTTGATCTTCTGACTTTTGAGATACCATTGGATTCATTTTGACCATTTTTTAGCATATACTTTCATCCACTTAACTTTTCATTTCTTTTTGTTCTACTTTTCAGAAAAACCAAATTCCCAAATTATTATGGCACCCGGTAAGAACATCATTAAAATTACTTACACCACAATACAATAATTTGAAAGCTTCATCAAATACCCTCGATTTGAGTTCTTCAAGCCTCGTTGAAACATCAAGATTCACTGTGGATAACGCAGTTCGTTACGTTGGTAAAGTATGTTCCTAATGGCTATTTCAAGTTATTCCCTAGTTGTACCTCTCATCCCCAGTTTAGTTTAAGGTATATAATTTACATCAAACCTGCCTTTGAGTCTAAAAGATGTATTGATTCCTTCGTGGGGCCCCTTAATAATTCTAGAACTGAGTCAATATCTCATGAAAAACCTTTTTGGGCTTTCGGTGCATCAGCCCTTGTATTGCCTGAGCAATGAAGTAATTTATGGTCGGTGTTTGATTTCAGGGAAAAACCATCTCAGTAGTTTAACCCGCCACAGAAACATGATAATGTTTACACCCATCAAACACAGACCTAAGAACCCCTTGTATGATTTAAGTCTGAACACTAAGCTCTTCCCTAGTAAGAAAGGGAGGGAAAAGCAAAGAGTGAGACAAAAGAGAAGGTTAGGTAAAATTTTTGTTGCATATATCAAGTAAGTTTGCATAACCACAGCAAACTACTTTGCATATACAATTTGAATTTGCATAACCACAGCAAATCACTTGCATTGTAAAAGATGTGCCCCATTTCTTCAACAAGGCCAATTTCAGGTATAAAGAATGCTTCAATACCGGCAAGGTTTCCAAATGAATCTAACAGGAGCTTTGAATTATGAATTTCAGATGGCACGAAATATCAGCTTGTTGGCTGCTTCGACAATTCTGTTGACCGGCTAAAAGAGATGCTTATCACAGAGAGAGATCACACCAGTCATGTCTGGAACGGCGAATGGGTTGATTGGGATAACTGGAATAGCTATATGGAAAATTCCCTTAACCGGTGTGCTGTAAAAGCCCATTCCAAGAAGTTCCGCGTTTTTGGAATGTCTTATTACGGTAGGTTTCTGGGGTTTTTTCCGTCAATACAATCGTTTGTGTCTTGATAGCTTGGTTCAAAAGCTAAAGGTACCTACTGGAAAACAGTGCCAATAACTCTTGTTTTCTGAAGAAGGGTTAGGGCCCTTAATGCTAAACATAGCTTTACTTTTTAGTTTAAACCTATATTTTGAAATGTTGTATTTTGTCAGTGGCACCCCCCTCTTCCCACCCAAAAAATTTATTTCATAGACTTTTTAAGAGCTTAAGTATTGCCCAATCGACTTCTTTATGATACCTCATTTTCAGTGGAAGGATGGGTGCATTTTGATTTTCTGCGAGTATTTGCAGTGACAGGCTTTTACGAGTGGGTTGAAATTTTCTAGAATTCTAAGCAAAGAAATCTGTTTGCTTTAAATGCAACAAGGGAAGATTATTTGATATTTATGCGTTCCTCTCTCATTCTTTTTTTCCTATCAAGCAAAATTTAGCTCATCTTGAACTATTATTCACGGTATTGTTACGAATCTCCTTCTTCATCTAAATATCTGATCCTTCCAGGACGTTGGCCTGACGATTATTGTTTCCATCCCTCTCTGTCCCTCGACAATGCTAACATTTCTGAATCTCTCTTGCCTGCAATGAGGTCCATGTTCAGTCTTGTGATGTATTTCTGCCTTTGTCTTTCTCTACTTCTACTTCTATTTTTCCTGTTAGCACGAATTTTTCCATTTCTTCAGATCTTGTGTCTCAAGAACTGCAGCTGTCTTTTCCTTATACCATGCTACTTTTTACTCCTGCTCTTCTTAAAACGTCTTCATTAGTAACTCTGTCTGTTTCCTAACTTTTGTTTTACATAATCATAGCTTATATCTTTTAGGCTGTTTTTATTTCCACCAGTTGCTTATGATGCTGAAGTTAAGGCTATGTGTAAACAAAAACTTTCATTCTTTCATAGACATGTATGTGAAAGTAGCTTGCTCTAACCCCTCATAGAAATGTTTTCAGTTTTTTCTAAGCCCATCCCCTAGATTGAATAATACCACAGAATCTGTGATAATTCTGAGAAGTATAATGACACACTTCTTGTTCCCCTTTTGCTAAAGCTCCAACTTTTTAAAACTTATTTTCTGCAGATTAAGATTTATACGATGTTTTCTGCAGATTCCGTAAAGAAAACAAACCTTTAAGGTGCACGTCGACGACTAAGTCAACTTTCTGGAACAAACTTTTTCAACCTCCTACTTACTATTTGCCTTTTCCGCGATTTTAATGTCATCTAACGAAGTTTATATCGGGAGTGGGGGCTGCCTATTGTATTGCTTCCCATTAAGAACGCTGTTATAAAGGTAATATAGCTCAGTGTAACAACTATTGGGGGCTCTAACCCCGACGCCCCTCCGCGTTTTACGGCCGTGCATGATGTACTGTAGTGTGTATTTCTAATAGAGTCCTCCAGGGTGCTATTTGAAAATGTCAAATATTATAAAACAAGTTGACAGAACATTTTCGACCGTCATAATCTAGATGGTGAGACTACGTCAATTTCTAAGATATCGATTTGAGAGGATCATTTTTAACATACAAACTGTCTATTCTTTCCTTGTAAGGAGAAAAGCCTGTCCCTAGCTTTAGACCCTATCGTGCCTGCTTGGTCTTATAAATTTAGTCCAATTGTTGAATGTATATTGCTGTGACTGCAAAGATGGCAAAGGTTTTTTAAGAGTTCTCGTTTTTTACATGTTTCAGCTGAATGTTGGGTGGACAGGACAGTTTCAAACGCTATGGCAACATTCACACCAGACCTAAAGGATCTATCAAAATGTGTGAAAGAAGGGTACAAAGATTGTTCAATGGGGGACACACGATGCATCGGAAAGCATTATGGGATTGCAGTGTACCAGATCATTGAAAAATGAAATGATAAGGTATATACTTGTTTGGATTGGCCTAGAAAATCTTGCGGTCTTTTTAATTTTAATTATCATATTTCAAATATAAATCTAAAATGTCTGATTGACTTAACAAAGTATTCAGCTATCGAAGTTTTAGCACCTTGTCATTCAATTCAAATTATAGAACAGACGGAGAATAGGGGAATGGTCGCTCGAGAGCGAAATTTATGGGACAAAGTGCTTTTGGTCAATTCGATTGTTTTTTCATAGTGTCATTTATCTGTTAGTAATTTATAGCGCTGCATAGTTCCTTCGGACGACAATTCAAAAATTACTCTCAACAAAAGATGTATTAAGCTTTTTAGATGTCTATATAAGGATAAAAGTTTTAAGATTACGCATAATTCAGTTTTAAGCCTTTATGCGCAAGAAATATGCTTAATTAACTTTAAAACTTTCACTTGTTTCCATTTAAACTGTTTTTTCACTGTTTACTTTCATATACGCAAAAACGAGACTTCAAACATAAAAAAGAGGCTGATTACCCCCTAAAATCCCCGTATAACATCTATTTTCGAAATCAGCACCCTCGAATTGACCAATAGCACTTGTTCCCATAAATGTTGCCCTTGAGTGACCATTTTCCTATTCTCCGCCTGGTCTATTAAAGCGTGGCTTGACTTTTTACACAGAATCCGTGTAAAGTTTGTGTCATATCGTGTCGTGGCAATTTTTATGTCGAATGGGTGAGTTTTTGGTGAAACATGGTATAGGGCCTATGTTCTAATTCCCAGTGGTGACTAACATCTCTTTCAACAAATCTATAAAAATGCAAGGGAAATTGTCCCCTTCAAATAAGGTGGCAAAAACATTAAAAAGCTTAAAGCACAATGAAATACAAATGGATATTCACCCTCTATTCATTTGATTTTTGTACAATTATTATTTTGCTTTTTCTGCCATTTAAACAATTTTGCAAACCTGTTTATTTACAGTATGACGTGTCAGTTGCTCTTTTTTCCTTCTCAGGTACCCATGATGGAGCAACCTCTTAGAATTGGCTTTCACACTCGCAGCAAAGTTGTTTTACTTTGAAGTAGATGTGTAGTTGACATGTAAAAAAACTTCTTGAATGAAACAACATGAAGCATGTATACTTATGCAGTATCTTTTATGGTCTACTGCATTTCCGCTTGCTAAAGAACGAGAGAGTGTAGAGAGGAGCTCAAAGAGGGGAGGGGGTTGTGTGATTGGGGAGAGAACTATTGCAGTTTTATGCCTGATGGATCTATGTCTTTGGTGTAATTAATATATAGCAATAAAAACAAGCTCACAGTAAGTGGGTATGCTTTATTCTAGTAGTTACATCAGCTGATCAAGTTTGGAATTATTATTACAATGGTTTGAAATTTGTAACGATAATTGCTTTAAACAACAACAATATCTCATTAAGCAAGATAGCAAATTAAATTGTTTATTGAAATTTGCTTAAGTTATTAATTATTGAAAATGCCTTACCAGGGAGGGACACCGCTCAAAATTTCTTTATTCGATGGTTTCATGTTAGATTTTTACAATCTAATTATTATTTTCAGTGACTATGTTTAGTTTTATATCACGCTGTTTCTTTGATTCTAATTTGCAACCATCAAAAAGCTTTTCCATTTACATGTTTTTCACAAATGTAAAGTCAGCCCTTCAGTGGTGGATTATCTCAGAGCTAAAAGCAACTTGCAAAATCAACATGTTGTAACGAAATATTTATAATGCGTTTTTCAAAGCATAACTGAATGCAGAGAGAAGCTCCAGCTTTGACAGCTTGAAAGCTTGAATGATCATACACAGTATTGAAAGGTGCAATTTCTTTGTGAATCTTCATTTTGGGCGTGGTTTAAGGCGTGACATCCTGAAGTTGATCAAAGCATAGCTCTCTAGAATGTGCTTGAATTAACCCTTTACCACGGATATTTTTCTGTTTAATGGAATTAAATTGAAGTACATTTCTAATTATACGGAATCGAAGTTTTAGCATTAACAGAACTAGATAGGCTACAAAAGCTACATCGAAACATACATGACATAACATTCAGCGACACTATTATTGAGCTGCATAACAACAACAAAACTAGAAGAAAAATTTTATTTAAAATGAATCCTCGAACTCTCCTCCACTGTATGCACCCCTACTCGAAGAAGCTCCACCCTAGAAAAAAAAGTTTTCAATTAATCCCTAACCCGAATATGCAAATCTTTGTGTTCAAAAATCCCAAAAGTGTGTCTAAACCATTCCTTTCTGCCAAGTCTTTTTTTATATGCAGTTTCGGCGATTTTCTTTCGGTGTAAGCTGAAACTCTTACGTCTTTTTCTCCGTTTGCAATGTGATTTTAATATCTTCGTTTTAAAATTCACGAGAACATTTCAGCTAACTGGTGAGTGTTATTGGTTAGCTGAAATATGAAAACTTATTATATGTTTAATGTTAAATGTTAAATCATATGTTAAATTTTTGTTCGGTGGTCCCCAAAGTGAGCCGTGTCACGTGTTACATTATGCTATGTACATTTGTTTTGAAAACATATAACGGATGACGAAGATATAGTTTTGTTAGGGTTTGGTTGCCGTTTAATACCCGAAATTTTGGTTTTAAACGCAAAGTCTCATGGCAAGACACCACAGTATGCTTTTCGATTTAAAACAGGTGGATAAACTATTTCAGTCAATGATTGATAACAGATTCTCGTTTTGGTAAAATGCTGCCTCTTTTTCGTTCATTCTGCGAATTTTCTTTTTCTTCCTTCTATAAATAGAATGACGTCATATAGTGCCAACTTTGCTGAGTCATTCGGCATTATTGTTTAAAAGCAGGCCATCCGCCTACTCTCTTAAATAGATTCGTTTTGGTGCAGGAACAGTAAGGAAAGAAGTGAAATAGCTGCTCGAACGATCGACTTCTTTGAAGTATTGAAGTGTATTTGAAGATCGCCATTAAAGGTTAGAAATAAGTCTCATAACCAACATGAAGGCAAAGTTTCTTGAAATTCTTTTAGCAGCAGCCATAGCGCTGACTGCCACTAACTGGTCGTTGAAAGACGAGTCTTCGAGCAATACTTATCATCGCCCGGATGATTTACTTGAAAGACAGACTTATACTGGAAATAGTTTCTCGAGCATTTATCCACATCAGGAATTGCCATCGCTTACTCTGAAGGAAGAGCAAACTATTATTGACACCATTATCAACTTGGAGGAGACTCAACAACAAAGGGCGGCTGTTAGACCCATCACCAACTTCTTTGCCTATCCGCTCGTTTCTCAAAATTCTGATGGCCAAAGTTATGAATCAGACAGCGATAATTATGCTCCTTCTGTTCCTGAAAACGTTGGGACGGTCCAAGAAGGAATTGGGTCCCCACTGCCCGGTAGGGCTGGTTCGACACATTCCTGGCCGACTTCTCCACCTTCACCAATCGATGACGGCGGTCTGTTTGGAGCCATTGGTTATGCACCTTGGAGCAATAATCAGTATTTTGATATAGAAACTTTCTTGAATGCTGATTTAGCACCTGAAATAGTCGACCAGGATTTTGGCAATCTTAGCCAAGATGGATTCTTCTTTGGCACTGTTGCAGATTCGAGCAGTTCATGGGCGGATAAAGGTTCGGAATCGGTGACTGTCCGACAATCCGAAAGTTTAGATGAACTGGCGAAGTTTCTCGAGGATTCGATTGAAAGCCCAGGTTCACCTGACCTATCAAAGAAAGATGTTGCATCCTTTAGTAATATGAAAAAGCTCATGCCTGGACACCAGACTTTATCGTCTCAACCATTGGATAAGGCCCTAGGCAGCTATCATGAAAAACAAATAAACAGACAGGGAAATGACATTGAAAATACTGGAATTGGCCAAATTGACAACGTTTTAGGACATAACTTCGATGAGACAAGTCTGGGTAGCTCTCCGAGTTTAAAAGGAAAAGGTGGGTATTTTTTTATTTGTTATTTTCGGCCTGCCAGTTGAAAGCAACCGCTTCTCTGCGAATTAAATGAATAAGGTGATTAACTATTGATTTTCAAGTCTATGCCAACAACAGGTCATAAACAGGAAAGTGTATTCAATAAGTACATTGAATGAGACATTCAAATATGTTCTTGGGAGGTAAACAGGAAAGGGGTTTAATTCAAGTTGTTTAAGATGAAAGAAGTCCCTAATGTGGGGAAAACTCATTGTTCTGTAGCAAGATCTCATTATTGTTGTTTTCTTGTTTTTATAACCCAGTGTTCCCCTATAAACACTCTGTTTTACTTAAATAGCAGTTGTTGATACAAAGAAAGCCCAGACATTGTCAGTCAACACCATTAAAGATGATAGCATTATATTGAAAACCTCACACTTCATGCTGAACAGAAAATGTGAAACTGAATTCAATGAATCTGATCCTAAAAGTATAAAAGAAAAAGCTTAAAACATCATGTTTAGCACTTTTCTGTATGTTTATAAATTGTATTGATTTCCATTTTTTTCTTTTAGTAAACCCGATAGCCAATGTCAGGAGTTATGACAGCATAAGAAATGGACCTATGTTTGCGAAAGGTGCAAAAGTGAAAAAGGAAGTTGGTTCCCCACAAAGTAGTGACCATTCATGGGGCAAATCTAGTGACAATGACTACAGTGGATATGCAAGCAGTTCAAGTTCTAGTTTTGACAATTATGATGGTACCAAAAGAAAATCAAAATCAAGCCATGACAAGAAAATATGGCTTGATCTTCCTTATACCAAAGATGATTTTATCCAAACAACAATTGAAGATTTTAATGACATAGTTTCCAAGCTTGAACCATTGCAGCAGCATATCGCAAAGGATATAAGACGCAAGGGGAAAAACAAACTTGCTGCCAGAAATTGTAGAAAGCGCAAGATTGATGCTATTGATACTCTCGGAAATGGATTGGGTGATCTTGAAAAAGAAAAGCAAATGTTATTAGATGAGAAACTTCAATTGCAATTGGAAAGAGATGAAATTGTCAGAAAGACTGAATTTTTATATGAACATATCTTCAAAAACCTTAGAGATGAAAGAGGGCAACCATACTCTAAAGACAATTATGCATTGACATACACAGTTGATGGAGCTGTTTACTTGGTGCCAAAGAATTCTGATAAAGAAGAAATAAAATCTCGCTGAAATAAAGGCAGATAAATTTTCAAAAAGTTGACTTTGACCAACAGTTTATCCTACCCCAGTACATGCGCTGCAGTATGAATGCTTTTTGTTGAAAGCTCAAGGAAACATCTCCTTCTGTTGTCAAGGAGTGAAATAAAGTGGCAGGTCTAGGCTGTGCTAGCAACCAGTTGTAAAAAAGATGTTTTGTTTTCTTGTCAACTTTATGTATAGAATACAGATAGCTTATTTGCTTTGAAAGCATGGACCACATTAGCAAATGAATACACAATTTCAAGTTGTAAATATCTATATATACTGTTGTTTTAGTTTTCCTTTTCAACTATTTGTATGGAATACAGATTACCTATTTTGCACTGAAAACATTTTACCTTGAACTAAACTCATCCTTAGAATGCATGTCCTTCTTGTATACTTTACTTCAACAGATTTGCAAAATCCATGTAGTTTTAAGCAGCTGGCCACTGGTGCCCATCCATATCTAGCCAATCCATGTATCAAAGTTTTCATATTTACATCTCAGATAGATTTATCTCTCTTGAAAATTTTTATGTATCTATCGCAAAGTCCAATCAAAGTTGCCAACAGTTGCTCAGCCCTATAGAAATAATTAGAATTTAATTTTGGTTTATATCCAGAAACCTTATTTTGAATTCCACTCCTCCTTAGCTAAGCACAAAGTTTTATAAAAGATCTTAAATGGGTAAAAGTGAGATTTGTAAATAGTATTTGGTAAATTTAAGAAAATCAACATGATGATCTTACTGTAACTTGGTAATCCTACTTTTTGCAATGCAGTGAAAAAAATTGTCTTTCATCATTGTGGCATGCTGACATTTTAAACTAAAGATGGTTTATCACTTTTATTATACTAAGAACTTGAGACCTTCATTGTTGTATCACAATTTTAAATTTTTATTTGTCCGAGAACCCTGTAGTTGTTCACTTGCATGCATTTAAGTCTACCAACTCACAGAATTAAACCCATTATTATTTAAGATATGAAATATTTAATATCCTTTTTTGTTAGAAAAGATACTGAATCACATTGTATTCTGCCAACTTTGAAGTAAGCCTGCACCTTAAACTTACTCTTTCAAATTGTCTGTATGTAAGTCTGTAGTTTTGTACATCAAGCCTTGATCTTTGTGTAATATATTGGTTATTTTAGCATGTAAATATTTTGAAGAAGTAATAAGCACCAATTTTCACAAATATCTTACGAAACATGAACAAATGTTTTTATGGCATCTGCTCTGGTTTCTTCAAAGTTTCTCAAAGAAGATTTTTAACAAGGGTATTTTGACAAGGAGACCTCGAGTTTTTTCTACCGATATCATCAAAAATTTGATTTTGCAAAATTTCTTCAACAGGGAAAAGGAAATTTAACCACTTTGGAATATGTTACTACGAGCGAAATGGGATTCTTCAACCCTAGCAATATTATCTCAAGGGGAATCAAAGTTGTCAGCCCCTATTTCATTTACATGGACTACAGTTAGGAAAAAGGCTGTCGATGCCCCTGACAAATATTTTTTGTCAGTTAAAATTTTTAGTTGATCGCAGAAGTTCATTAGAATTGCGGAGAGTGATTAAAAGGGTTGATACCGAAATTTGAACAATGTTTTGCGAAAGAAAGCTCATCTCTTACACAGCTGAATCAGTGGCAATTTCTTCTCAAATTGTTGCGCGTTTGTACAAGAATACCTTTCCTGTCAAGCAAGTTATTACCAAGAGCACTAGCATCATGAAAAGAAACATTTTGAAATTCATAGACGAAAGAATTAGTTGTAGTAGAAATATCTTTCAAAAAGAGTCGTATAATTGAATTTTTTTCAAGGTTCAGCACTTTGTAACATAGAAACGTCGCTCCATAATTTTGATTTGCAACGCGAAACAAGCTTAACAATGCAGCTTATTGAAGTCCACTTATTAATCGACAGGAAAAAAAATATATCCAAGATGATTGATTTCCAAGGAAGATCCGGGTTGTCCTATACAGGAAAAATTACAGGAAAACTATCTTGAAAAAAATCCTTTGTAGTTTACGACCGAGAAAAAACATCATATGTTTTATTCCTTTTAGTCTAATCTTAGAATTTTGCTCCAGTATAAGACACAAACTACATGCATTCAGCGATGCAATTTGCAAAACAACATCTGTTACATTTTTTTTAAGTCTCTGCGCAGAGCTAGCTGTTAGTACATTTCATCATAACGTTAAATTAGAACAAACAGGATCTGCCGATAAATAGGAACTCGAGAGCAGCGTTGTGGAAACTTATTTTTGATTCTCTTTTTCTTGGAAATTCACTTAGAAACAATCAACGCCTCTTTGATTTTTAGCAATAGTTTCATATTCCACTAAAGTTTGAAACAGTTTTTAGGAAAGTAATAGAAAGGTGAAGTAGGTTCTGCAGAATGCAAATCAGTGGTAAAAAAGTCACAAATTAGACCAAGATATCTCAGAGAAGCAACTCCTGTGGCCAATGAAGTCATGAATCGCATAATGTCTCACTAGCATTCGCGAAGCAACTTAATTAGGTACTTTAAATGAGCAAATCAACCTTAAATTGAAAGAAATGGCAAAAGTGTTTGCATACAGCTACTGATCTTCCGATTTTTGATCTGGCTTCCCAAATCAACAAACATGGATGTGATCTGTGGCTCTACCTGCACATCTACTTCAAACGCTGCACCTGCGAAAGTCGAGGCTACAGTGATTCAATTTTATCTGAATGAAAAGGTCACCCGTACAATTGTGCCACGTTCAATCTCTGGGGAAAGACTTGACAGCAAGCTGCCCAAAACAGAGTATCATACTTTACAAAATAGTGAATCTAAACAAGGAGTAATACGATTTGAAAGTTTTACTGCAAAATTCTGCAAAGAGTTAGCAAAGGAAAACGTCGGGTAGACAGAATTTCTTTGTTTTTGTTCTTCAACAAGACGGTTAAACTGAGAGAGACTTCACGCATGAAGGAACAAGCAACTCTTCCGTGACTTAACCAACGATGTTCTGTTGTGCTCCGCCGAGTGTTCGAAAATTGTGAGTTACAACTCATTGCAGTTACTTTTTAATCTTAACTAAGGCTGATTTGCATGATTTGATAGCGTAATTCTATTAAACAAAGGTGAACAAGCTAATTCTGAATGAATAAACAAATTTCTGCAGTAAACTAAGTTTGCAATTCTCTAATTACTGTTTGGCCAAAATATCAATTTAGGAAATTTAATCTACATTGTATAGAATTCTAAGTTCTTTTAAAACTGCTTTTAGCTCTCGAATAAGTAATACAAACATTTGTGACATGACGATAAACATTTAACTGCACATTCCAATCGGTTTTCTTTGGCCCCTTCCCTCTTCTTTAGGCCATAACCGGCATGGCGGTTCTTTCGGTAAAACAGAATTCTCTTCAAAACATTTCCTCTGCTCTTTTGCCACTCAGTCTTTCCTTGCCCTGATTTTTAGTTTCTGGCTGCATCATGATCATGAGGGATACCAAAAACTTGGGTGAGCTTTCTAGTTTATAGCTTATATTTTTGAATTTATACATCAACAAGGGCTTACATCTATACATCAAAGTTAAAACATTTGACCAAAACTTTGATCCAAAAAAAGGTTTCCCAAGCAAGTGTAACCAGATAGACAACTGAGGTTGTTATCTTGAAGCAAACCGTCTTCAAACCAGCTCCTTTGTTTTGTTTTTGGGATAAAAAATGTTCCAGGTAGTTACTGAAAGAATGAAAGGCAGCGCTAGAATTGAGTAGAAACAATCAAAGTGACAAGCGATGAACCGTGATTGGTTCTGTATTTTTAGTGGGTTCAGTTTTTGGATCTCTGTTTCCCTGAATCTCTACTCTCTTCCTGAATGATCAGTATCAAACGATACTCTAGCTCATATATGTGTCACTGGCATCCTGCAGATCTGCTTTGTGTGCTCTATTTTAAGAAAAATACTATATTAAGCAATAAAAGCGCATTTCCTAGAGAAAAAACTCCAATCCAAGCCAAAAATAGTTTCACCAAAATCCAATTACATAATGTTTGGTTGTTTTTAGAGACCAAACGCAACTCTGCATAGTCTACGACTACGATCTATTTCGCAAAAGTAAAACGTATCTACCGAAACTGCGGGAACACAAAATACAAGAAGAGCCAAATTTCGTTATTGACGATCCTTCGAGCATATTCTTTGATCCTGATGAAAAAGCAGGATTTGTCTACGGTTCACACGGAGATAGTGATGATGACCTCGAACTGGAAGAAACAAACGAGGCTGAGAGGATTGACGCTATTATACAGCAAAGCGGTAACATTAGCCACGATACCTCACTGGAACTTGACGATAGCCTCGATCACATTCCTCAAACATCAACGTCTTCTGCTATGAAAGATGCCTCGTTTGATCAAGAATACGGTGTACAGTCAAGACGGGAGTCATCGGAGCCAGAACTGGCTTATTCTTGTGATGAGGCAGATTATCATCGTTACGGAAATAATACACCAGTCAATTTAATGCTCTCTTCTGACAAAAGTAACCTGAATACAGAACTAGGTAGTATGAGGTTGTATGAAGATTCAGGTTATGGATCTGGAGGGCAACGTCAGAGGAAAGACTACAACTCGGACGCAGAAAGTACAAATAAATATCAAGATTCTGGAATATATGAAGACGATGTTTTCTTAGATTCACCAAAACATAATTCGGGAAATAAGACAGAAAGCGAGAGTTTTATACACGACGTTGAATTTGAAATGGACGATTTTCTTCCTGAACACTCCGAGCGCAACACTGCATTCAAAACACCCAGCAGCTCACCTCTCAAATTAGAACCAACAGTTCCCTTGTCGAGAATAAACGGAAGACAACAAAAACCTAAAGGTAAGTTGATTAAACCATTAGCTGTAGATCGAAAACTTTGCAAGAAGAAGAGGAGGTTGCTAGAAAACTTTCGCTTTTATGTTTTTTATAACAAAAAACCGTATGCTTATTTTCTATAAGTTTAAAAGAAGGCAATTTTTACAAAGAGCCAATTTTTATTGAATTTATTTAGAGAAGAATAAACCATTATCACAACAAGGTTATCTGTAGAATTCACCCTACATCTCACTCGTATTAAGGAACAGGCTTTGCAAAGAGTCGTTATGAAAAGTAAAACAGTGCTTAGTTTTTATTGCTGTTTTATGACACCCCAACGACCATCCTTTTGCAAATCGACAATCATTTTCAAATCAGGATCTCTTTGAACACCTCACAGTTCGAATTTGATAAATTTTAATGGCATTTTAGATTTATATCTTATTTGGAGAAGTGTTCCAAATTTTCTGCAGCAAGTGCAATCTCTGCCAAAAGTTCATGAAAAGTCATGTTGCTTGAGTGTTGTACTGAAAAGTTTATCTCCTTCCGGTAGAAGAGGAAGACATTGCAAAAATTATGCTAGCTATAGAGTTTAATATCACAGCTATCCAAAATACCGGACAACACGAAACACCAAAACATTATAAAAACATTTGGAGAGGGAGATGTAGTATAGAATAGCAACAAATTTGGCGTAGCATTGTACGTTTTTAACTTTCGACATTTCCAATGAATTGAATCAGTCCAATGACATGGTGAAATTTTAATCAAAGCTAGAATAACTATCGTATTTGTTTACAGTCTCTATTCTGCTATTCTGCGACGCCATTTTGATAGTTTATCATTGTTTGTTGCAATTGTTACAAGCGCCGCTATATTTAACGTGGCTATTGTTGGTGTCACATCATACTCTTCTAATGTCGTCAATTGTTACAAAATCTGCATGCTACAGTGCACAAGAGATTTTTTAAAACGAAGCCATGTGATTCTGGAATTAACCAATCAGGAGGCTCATGAATAATTGATGCTTGACCCGCTTGTTCTGATCAGCGTAGTTGGTGATGATCCTAATAAGTGGAAAGTTCTAGAAAAGTAAAATGGATTTTGAGGAAAACCATTCTAGTGTTTCTTACTACTGTACGCCAGAGTATTTGGAGCTCTATTTGGGAGGTTTCGAGATTGCAGATAGGCCAAAGAGTGCGTAAGTTTGCAGGAAATGGAGCAACTAAATGTTGCTGCAAACTCTGCTGCTACAATAGGCCCAAACACTAACCAATAGGCTGATGTTGATTTTTGCTCATATTCTCATCAATATAACCGTAACCTAAGGGTTTTGTAGCCTTGTATTTATGATTTATGCAAGATGCATTTTTGCAAGATACATCTCACTAGTTATTACACACACTTTAATGTAGCATTCATATACATGCATTTGCTTACGAAAATGCTATATAAAGAATTTTTAGTATGAAGATAACTTTTCAATATGCTCACATCTTCCAAATTCCATAAAAATATTTGGAAATTTATTTCTAGAAATTTAATGACTTTCTTAGACGATTTCTAACAGAAATTTTAAACTCCTCTTGAGGAGCATTGTTTTGAGAAGCAGAATGCATCAATTGATGCCTCCAGCTGAGGCATCAACACAGAAACATGCACATTCATTGCTTGTGATTAAACTCTTTAGCATTGCTTTATGATACAAAAATTCAACAGAATAGTGTTACATATACATGGCATCGTCTGATCTTGCCAGGGCGTCTAAGTCGCTTTCTGCAACAAGAACGAGAGGATGTTCCAATACTCTCAGGCTGTGACGGCTATTACAACTGTGACAAAGGAAGAGACACGAATCAATCTACATTTTTCAATGGTATTGACAATCATTTCGAATTTTAGAATAATATGGAATCTTGATTTTCATAACTCAATCGTCGAGCCTCCCAAAACCAAATGGTCAGCTGTAGTTGTCGAGATGTAAACAGACTAGTTTTGATCATGGTGATACTGGTGATTATGGTTGCCGTGATTATGATAACTTTGGAGCAACACGTATGCCGATGTTAATGATGATTTTGACTGCGTTGATTGATCACGATGACGATGATAAGTCATGATGATGATGATTGATCGTGATGACATGGTTGATTGATAGAAATAAATAACTTGGAACTGGTAGATCTTGTACCAATAGACACAATTATTTTATGCGATCATCATTTCCTATCTACTATTGTGATAGTAACTAAAGAATCATTTTTTTCCAGATCGAACAACAAAACCGGTTGTGCGCAGATCCTCTGGAAAATACAGTCATGTGCAAGCAAAGGTTCAAACAAGGGTAAGAAGAGTGAACTATTGTTTTAAAACTGGTCCGTTTCCCATGCTCAAAGATCAAAAGACCAAGACCATCCAAAATTATGATTTAAATGGATATGTAGTTAGGGTTTCTCATACCTTAGTAAAGTCTAAAATTTGATATATAAAATATGATTTAGTTATTTTTTGTTAAAGTTAATGAAATCTCAAAGCCAATTACCTCTTAAGTTTGTATGACTTTGGCCAAAAAATAAAGGAATCAGCTGACGTTGAACTACTAAGCTAAAGTGGAAGTAAAGCCTCACGCATGCCCAGAACAACAGTCGGCGCGACCAGAGAGAATCAAGATGAAACTAGCCTGAGCCCCACTCCACATATGTATTTGTGAACTCGGACGCAGGCTAGTTGTAAAATCTGATTATCAGGCTAGTTTAATCCTACCTTAACTGCAAGAATTTTAGGGAGTTGCTTTGAAAAGATTAGATGGCTTCAAACTAAAAGAAGTCAACAGGTTCTATGACGAATTTGTCAGCACCTGTAGTATAAACTGATGAAGTGCAGCATTCTGTACCTTCTCAGGCCTTGATTATTGACTGCGTCAAGAAAATGTGTTCGTGAAATCATTTTCTTTGCTTTTAGCGGACATCTTCTATATCGCCACGGAGACCTTCATCACCATCGGGAAGGTCATCGTCCCAGGGAAAGAGGACCACTACCAGTTCAACAAACGGGCGATCAAAATCGACGGAACCCAGTTACAAACCGAGTAAGTGCTACTTTTCAAAACACCAGGGAATTGCTTCCACTTTCAAACAAGACTTCATTATGTACAAGCGCGTACGTAGGAGTAAAGAACGTACGAGTCTTGAACAAATCTAAACAGTTTTTTGAGAAAGATAACAAGGGTCGCACCACGAAGCAGTACTATAAAAGGGTTTACCAGATCGTATGGCATCCTACAGAGAGGCTGTACATAGTGTAAGATGCAACAGAACACAATATAGTCACTTTTAGCGAACCCTTTTTAAAGCGCTGCTTAAGATTTGTCTCCGAACCCTTTTTAAAGCGCTGCTTAAGATTTGTCTCCTGAAGTTACTCTACATCGTTGAACTATACATCGTCTGCAGAATGACGCAGGTAACTTAAAGCAACTTCCAGTTCTTTAAGAAAATTACCTTTTCTGCTGATGATGTCTCCACGTCTTTACATAATCCTAGGCAAGCTGGGGGCATCGTACCACCTAGCAAGGGGTAATCTGAATTAATGGTGCAGCGTCGAAGAGTTTCTTCATTTGTATATTTATAGGATCGAGAATTCTCAGAAACAAATAATGTTTTACTTTCCAATTCTATAGTGTACTTTGGTCGTCCAAAGATTGAGAATATAAAGACAGAGTTTCGGAAAACTGCCAAACCAAAAGTCGGCTCTATGGAGAACGTTGGTCATACCCCAGGAGGAGGGCAGTCTAAAGTAAGTTCTTATAGTTGGTTTGAAGATTCAACGATCCTCCTCGGTAGTCGTTAGATTACACCATTGTGAGCACAGGGAATGAGCTTATGCATACCTCGTATCTGGGAAAGAACTTAGCTATGATGAAGTATGAAAATATTAACTATTTTAAATACAAATACTACCTGAGCTGAAACTCATTATAGCACGAGAATAGCAAAAAATATAACTTTTCTGTGAAGGTGTTCCAGCAAAAGTTGAGCTTCCGTAAAAATGCCGAGTCAAAAACAGACACACACGGTGTTGAAATGTACAGTCACTTGCCTAAAGAATTCCAAGAAATAGCGCGAAGACTTTCCCGCCAAGATCATCATTTGAAGGCGAATGGCAAACAAGGTCCGCGTGGTCGAACGAGCAGCAGAAGTAGCTCCGCGGTAGGATCCAGTAGAACATCGAGTGTCAGTCCAACAAGGGGGCGTAGCAAAGTCAGAAACCGACCTCCAACACCAAGTCTTCCTTTACAGAAGACTACTCTTCGGCCAACCAGCCCGAGTCGACAGACAACCCTGAGTCGATCACCAAGCATTCGATCAATCCCCACAACCCCAGTTTTGCACTACAAACATCCAGCAACTTCATCAATACTGTATGACAAAAAATGCAGATCACGGAATGGTTCACCTTGCTCTTCCAGAGCTCAAAGTCCTACAAACTTGCGATCAAATTGCAGTTCACGTGCCAGTAGCCCTACTGGTACCAGATCGAGGTCAAAATCAAGGTCACGACCTGGAACGCCGAAAAATGGCGAATCGCAGCCGACCACGCCCATCCGACAATTGTATCAGTTCACACAGGCGAATACATTTATTCCTGGATCTCCAAAGTCTGCAGGTAACACAAAAACTTAGGCTTAAGAAATTATATTTAGTCAGCAATTGCAGTCTAATTTGACAAAAGTAAATCATATCCAAATAGGGTTTTAAAGCAACAGATTATCCTGAAATATGTCTTACAAAGACTATAGGAAATTTCATACAACAGATTAACTTTGAAAATACAGGCAGTTGGCACTAGTTTAGTTAAGCCTGAGTGGAGAAAAATAACAACGAAGAATTAAGAAAGGATATATTTATTCTTGCAGCTTAACAATGATCTTATATTTCGTAGGACCCCAACCAGTGTTTCACTTTGTTCCAGTGAGGTGACCTCCAGATAGCAACACTTTATTTCAAATGGAGGAAATATCAAGGATTCAAAGGCGAGTGTAACATCGTGGATTATAGAAACACAGATCGGTTCTGCACTGCTCTTTTCTTGAATTCAAGACGTATAAAAAAGTTAGAATAATAGTGAACGTTTCAAGAGACTAATCACTATTTTTAGCGAATACAAATTTAAATGGGACCAAAGAAATATATTGTAACTATAAGCATAAAATTTTAAATGATGTTTACTTTGGATTTGTTAGAGATTTTTTGCGAGCGGTTGAACTTGTATTTTTACATAGTAACATATATCATTGCAAACAGAAGTGTTTGTCACTAGTGATTTCTATCACTATTCCTCGTATACAGCATTTCAAGAGAGCATGAACATTTCAAAGCATACAGAGCCACAAGGACAGCGACTTCTCGAAACCGAAACTTCAAAGACAGCAAAAACGTGACTTTGTCAGGTGCTAGGAAACGAGTGAGAGCAGGTGGGGGGGGGGGGGCTGGTTAAATCCATTGTCATAAGAAATCTCTTAAACATCTTGAAGAAAATACAAATACATTATAAAGCTAGCAGATATCATCATTAGAAAAATACATACAAACATTCCGAAGTGAACTGATTAAATTGAGTACTGATTAATAATCATGAGGAAAATTTGATACCGCCATGCACTTGATCGTTCTTATCAGATTCATGCAGCATTCACTTATCCGCATTTAAATACGCACAACATAATTCCCTGGGAAAAGTCCCCTGCGGCCGTCGTCTGATGTCCCTTCGAGCCATCCATCATCATTCTCTTTCGTAACCCATATTATATCATTTTCACCTAAATCCAGCTCGTCATCTTTGTCTTTTACGTATTCATACAATGCTCGAACTGCAAAAGATTGAGAAATTTTAAGATCAACATCCCAAACTGAAGGGGCTTCAAATTGTTAAAACAAAGTTCATAACAAAAACGATAACAATCGCAGTTTTGATGACGTCATCATGGACCCCATCTTTTTTATGCCCCAGCACCCCGAAAAGCTGAATAGCCATATCCAAATAGAGCTGCAGTGGGTGCGAAGCTCCCAAAAACGCAGGAGGCAGTTGGTAAACATGTCGGGCTCGCCGTCTGGCAGAAAATGGACTAACCGAGAAAGACTAAAAATTTGATATGGAAATTATTTTGGATTGTCAAAAGATCCATTCTTAATAATCATATTCCGAATAGTTCATGGTACAAAACCTGTAACACGGATTGGTTGCAGGGGTGTCCGACTGCACAAGACCACGCTTTGGCGGGGTCGCCAAGAAAGGAACTTCGGGCTAGGTAGGCCTTGCAATCAAATGGCTAATCTGACAAAACATTAATAAAAACCATGATCAATCCTTGACGTATTCCAAAGTTTAAGGCAAGAAAACACAAATTTCGATTTTTCATCGAGAAAATTTTTGAACCTCGACTTCAAAATCAATATATTACACGTTATAAGCCAAGCTATTTTACCTTTAACATGCGCTCGTTACCTTATAAGATCAAGCAGCCTAAAGTATAAGATATTCGTGGAGCAGGGGGTACAAAGGATTTATTTTAAAAGATACACAGTAAGATTTAATTTGACCTGCTTTCACTTGCAGTTAACTTCTTTCTATATATACTACCTTGCTGCACTATGTCTTGCATATATCGGTAGTAAAGAACAGTTTTTTGTCAACATGGAGCAGCAACCTAGGTTTTCGGAGTATTTAGCAAAAAATATTATAATTGGCCGAAGCCCTCCCCCCGTTCCTAACATACTGCACAAAAAATATCAATATTAAATATTTAATGATAAACATAAATAAAAAAGCAAGATTTTATCAGAGTATATTCACAATGCAATGCAAAAAAGAAAATGGCTTCCCTAATAAACTATTATACTTGTGAAAGCAAATAGAAATATATCTGCTCTTTTTTCAATTATCTTCTACAAATAACTGTAAAGATTATGCTTCTGAACGAGAAATATAAACTTTTTTTCTACTATAACAAGCACATATAAATAAATATTCTGTAAAATTGGAGAAATGAACCTGTTGAGCAGAAACAAACCATGGCCTTTTCTTAACATTCTTAACATTTGAGGTAATTCACCCCCAGCCCCAGAAAACTTTCACTTTTTATAACAACAGGCTATTGGTCTCCTCGTTTTATACAGTTTTGCCACCAGCTAATGTCTCTTCCAAAAGGCCATAAAATAAATAGCGATGCTGCCCTTTTCATATATTAACAAAACATACATATGAATTTTGAGACAATGAACAACAAACACATTTGTTTATGTTGGTATCAAGTTAAATTGTAAATAATTATTTCATTATTACATAATTAATTAATACATAATTGTTTCACAGCTAATTGCACAATATTTTGAAAATTAAATACCAGTATTGAACTAACCTCTGTATAATTTTGGTATTATTGTATGTCCAGCCACATATCCTGGGGGTTCATATGCAGCAGTGTTGTGAGACGGGGGTACATCATATGTGTCATCAATCATTGGTGGCGGAGGTGGCAAATCTTGCCACTACCAAATTCTCCCATTAGTGCTGGTGGAGGAGGGGGTGGGGGTGGGTTGGGAAATGAATCTCAAATGAAAAAAGACAAAAATTAGAGAACAATGCCTACTCAACATGCAAATTTTTAGCCCATCCTATAAAAACTCATCAAGTAGTAACAGCTTTGAACCTACTTGTAAAGAAAACTGCTACTTATACATTTATCAAGTTTGATGATGTTGTTCAATAGATTTAGTGTTGATATCATTTTTCATTTTTTATCTTTCTGAAAATCAGAAAAAGTCAACTTAAATTGATTATTCTTGTTGACAACATAACTTGCTGATATAATAAGAAAGGTTAATCAAAGAGATGTTGAAATATAAAAAAATAATAGAAATCCCAACTGTTAGAGCCAAAAATGGAAAAAAATTAGGGGGCAGCTTAATGGGGGTAAAATCAAACAATTTTACTTCTTTGGTATATACTTTTGAATGAGCAAATTCACTCTGCCTGAACCCAACTGGTGTTTTAAGTTCAGCCTGTTAAGAGACAATCTGCTTCAAGAAATGCCAAGGATAGAAAACAAACAACTTTGTTAAACGAGAAATCTGTGTAGATTAAATTATTCTCTGACACATTTCATAATTAAGATAAATACTCTAATACTTGAGCACTAGAGCACCTACCATCCATCTGACTGTTGCTATGACCCAGCATCGATGGTGGAGGAGGAGCTGGCATACCACCTCCAGGGAAAGGTGGTGGTGGTGGTGGCATGACTGACATGGCAGTTGGTGGTGGAGGAGGTGGGGCAGGCACATTTGGTGCACCAGCTATTGGAGGTGCTGGTGGTGGTGGGGGAGGTGGTGCACCTCCCATCATTGGAGGGGGTGGAGGAGGCATTCCTGCTACTGATTGGCTTTGAGGTAGAGGTGGAGGGGGTGGTGCAGCATTAAATGGAGGTGGAGGGGCAGAGCCAGAACCGTAGGGTGGTGGAGGGGGCGGAGGCATGCTTCCTCCAGTTGCATCTTGATAGGTTGGTGGCACTGGGGGTGAAGGAGTTGTGGCTTGGTTAGGGAAGGGTTTTACAGGGGGCTTAACTGGTGGAGGTAATGCTGATCCCTTTGTTGGCTTCTCATTAATTGAGGATGAGCTCGAATGGAAGCCCTCAGACCCAGAAAAGGATCCCCTGATGGTTCCTGAACCAGTGGATGAAGCAGAAGGCCTTCGAGTGCTAATGCTCTTCCTTGGGACTGTCCGAACTCCATGACCTACAAGCAACAATTAGCTTATTTAAATTGTCATTGATTCTGAAGCATTAATTCTTTTTATCAAGCAAATAATTGAGAACCTTCAAACTGAGCTTTAAAGTAGAATTTCTGGGCAATATCCTAATTTATTCATAACTATCATTTTACTAATTCCAAAAGCAAAATGTCCTCAGATGCATATACTTATAAATGTTTCAGAAAGATTCTTCAGCTGCTTCCAATAAATAGTTATCATGTGAAACCAGTGTGCAAACGGTCATGGTACCAGCAATGTGGCTACAAAGTTATATATCAATTCTACAATTTTGAGAACTACTATAAAAATCATACCTATGTCATCAAGGGCAGCATAGTCAATTTCTTCCCTTTTGTACCTCCTTGGCTTCTCTTGTTGAGCAGGTGCTACAATCTTATGCCCTCTTGTCACATTTTTATTTGCAGTCAGTGCACCAATTTCTCTCCTTGCAACTTTTTCTTTATGAATATCTACAGTCTACAAAATTCACAGATAATGAACCTTAAATTCAAATAATACTTTTATATCATGCAAAGTATATACTAAACATAAATATGGACACAATTAATGATCATATTATTAATGATGAAAAATAATATACACTGGGCATTTCACACTCAAAATTTCTTGCAAGCAAGATAGCAGTTGTGAGCATGACTGAAAGTAAATACCTCATGACATGAAAATAAATACCTCAGAAATGGAAGATTAATCAACAAGATATCATTACAAAAATTTTTTATGATTTGATCAACTGGTAATAAAGTGAAATAATATGAGTAAAAAATTGGTTTAGTAAGCAGTGCTGTTGGCATTATAGTCATATTGGGCGGGGGCTGTCTATTCAGGTTGACAGTTAATAGAGAGGGGGCTATTAATACAGCCCTCACTAAATGCAGCCCTGTAAGTAGTTGGTTAAATAATTAAGTGAATGACTGTTTTTCTTTTTCTAAGGTACTTTCGTGCCTTTTTCACAGCATTCCTTTCTTTTACCATTATTACCACTGCTAGCCACTGGTGTACCTTTCATTGCTTCCTCGATTTTCTTCCTTCCTTCCTTTATTTAGATATATATATCTCAAGAGATTCTGCCAAGAACACATCTTTCTCTTTAAGTCTTAATAGTGATGAATTCCCAACAATAACCAGATTCTCAGAATAAACACTATACTATATTTCAACAGATCAGTCTCCATTTTGATGTTAACTTCTCAGGTATATACAGCAATTTATTCTAAATCTGCTGGTGCAAATAACTTTGAACCTTTATTGGACTGTTTGGTCTGCTTTGTATGAGGGTGGCAACAACCATGGAGATGGATGTTATTGCTGCTGTTGTGTGATCTTCACTCTTTTTCAGAGGGAGCGGAGGTTGTGTGGTGATTGTTTTTGTTCTTTTGGTCCTTTGGTAGCTTTATAGTGCTGGGCAGAATCACTTAATTCAAAGGTATGTATTTACTAAATGGATGCTCTCTCTTCCGTAACTTTATCTTTTGAGAGAGCTCCTTAAGAAATTTTCTTAGCAAATCCTCTTGGTTCTTTACAATTAGCTATTTTCTGTTCCAGGCAATTCTTTATCTTTGTATTTGCCAAAAATGGATCATATAATTGGAATCTTCATGTAAAAATTAGTCTATGTGTCAAAAATTTCATGTTGTTTGCGCCATCAGGCAGCAAATTATCCGAATTTTCAAATTTTAGCTTGTCTTATACATTTCAATGGAATTTGTTGCTGTAGTGAAATTTTTCAATACAGCAGCAAATTCTGTAGAAATATTGATTAATATTCAAAACAAAGTAATTTGAGACTGAACAGTCCAAACAGTATGAAGTTCTCAGCATAAACTAATTTCAAAACAATGATTTTAAATCTGAAGTCCATTTTTGAGAAGGTCTGGAGATAGGGAGATACAGAATCTATTATATGAACCCGGAACGGTGAATAAAGCCTTGCTTGTTTTATCATAAAATGTTTTCATTATGTGGAATTTATTATAAAGGTTTGGATGCTTGGATTTTAAAAAGAAATCAACTGAACTCTGATGATTTTACATGAGTTGCCTATTCAACAGTTTACAAAAAACTGTTTTGACTTGAGTAGAGCTGAGGATGGCCAAAAGACTAAAGACGTGTTACAGACATCCTCTTTTTTCTAGACCATATCAATTTGCATTACCCTATAACAAACGTTAACTTCTTCTGCTCTCGTTATACCACACAAAAGCTTAGAAGGCTTGGTTCTAGCTAGTCAAATGTGCCTTTCTTACTGCAACTCTCAATTTTAAGGAAAACAAATAAAACCATATTGTGAAGAAGTTGAATTTCTGTTTTGGAGGAGGCATATTCCTACATACCAAGGAAATTCCACTGATGCCTGAATCCATCTTGTTCAACTGAATCATTTGTTGGTCCATCATTTGCAACATGTTCACGGCGAGCGAGTGTACTTGGTAGGCCACACTGGCAAGCGACTGTGAGGCATATTGTTTGGTTTCATTTAAGGCAGCCTGTTTGTTCGAGTTTTGTCGATAATTTTCTTTGCAGTATGCTGCAAGTTCTGCTAGGTTCCTATGGCTATCAACAAGTGCTTGAAGGCCGTCTGGAATTTCTTTTTCAATCAAGGAATTCAAGAGGGAATCTTCAGCCATTTTCAAGGCGGTGTTTCTCCTTCCTTATTACAGCTACTCTAGCCAGAGCCAAGTTCTCGATGTAAATAGTATCCAAGAGAATGGCATGACGCTAAATGTCATGACAGAACATTTTGATGAAAATAGGTGATTTTTTGGCGGGACCCTTTCAGGGATTATTCTAACGTTGTTTTGTAAATTTTTCTTTATTTAATTATGTGAATTCATCTATTTATGTATTTATTTCATTAACTATATTTTAATTTATTTATTAGCAGATTCAATTTGTATTTGTTCCTTGTGCTTGAATCTTGACGATTTTTCCAGAAATTACTCGAAACTAAAATGAGATTGATTAAAATTCAAACTGCAATGTATTTGGTAATTTACATTTTGAAAACTCGGTATTACGCCGGGGGTATTACGGTAATATCCTGAGCAGCCCCCCCCCCCGAAAAAAAAATCAAAGCCTGAATTTCCGCCACTGAGAGCGGAGGTTGATATTACAAGTAATGTGCAAAGCAGCAACTTGCAATTATTAGTATGGCATAAACCAAAACTCAACTCTACTTTTTGCTTGCTACACACATCAAGGGGCAGATCACAACATGAAAATCTCGAATGCTTTTGCCAAAAATACTTTTGTTTTCGAGAAAAATTCTTCAAAATCTATTTAAATCCTATTGATCTAAAAATCCCTTACTCGTTTTGAAAAGAATGACACACCCTTCGACACAGATGAACAGTCGTAAAACAAAACAAAAAAGCAGATCACTGATAAGCCTGTCCTTGTATAAAGATAAAAGGACTACATTTCTCTGACGCTGCTCTGACATGTATCATCCAGGAGATACTATATGCTATTTGTAATTGTATGCTTGTCATTTTTTTAACAGATTCAAAACTGAGGTTGTTTGCACATTCATCTGGGCTTCCTTATTACAGTGGCATTCCACGGAAGTAATGGCTTCTAAATCTTCAAGAACGCTTCTGTTTCGGTACACTGAAATAAAAAAAACTAGCAAAAGATAGAGCAATATCTACGAGCTATTAATTCTAAGGGTGATATGCTTTGGGAGATACGCTCAAAGCCAAAAAATAGCGTGTACCAGATCCTAAAACACCTTTGGTTTTAGCAGCCTACCCCGCAATAATTGACGCTGGGAAAGAAAGTGGTTGCACGAGTGCCCTTCCGACAATTCTAATGTTATTAGATGCTCTTTTGCAATTTATTTTGTTTATAACATATCATTTATATTACGACAGCTTGCTTCTTTTGCTAGCTTGTTTAATTAGATTAAATTCTAGCTATACATATTTACAAAGAACAAATATAAATTGGATCTGCTAATAGATAAATTAATATATAGTTAATGCAATAAATACATAAATACATAAGCCAGCTAGATATAATAAACAACACGGACAAAATCTACATCTACATCGTATTTTCATATTTACAAACGTTGCATTTACAGGTAGGGTATAGTTTACCTTGGGTGCCAGAGCCTCAAAGAGTCAAAGGATAAAGAACAGGGGAAAGGAATTGCGAAGCCCAAGATAGGTAGAGTTATCCCACCTTTTTACTATACTCTCGAAGCTGTTTAGATTTTCTGAAATTGTTATCAATCAGGAGATGATATTTCCACTTACAAAGTACATTCTAGATAAAACATGTTTTGAAGGGGAACAGGCATCATTTGAAAATTTACCAAATGTTTCTTCGAATTTAGTAACTTTTTCCTGCATAATTCATAGCAGCAGATCCGTACATGTTTTTTTATGAGAGTAGAGGTGTTTATACCCTAGTGAAAACAATAATAATCAGGTCTTTCAATATGCCATTTGTTGGTCATCATTTAAAATCACAACTTTCTTGGTAACAGCCGGTAGACGTTTCTTTACAATAGAACTATAACTTGGCATGCAATCCCTTCTAAAAGTCCTTGCAACACTAAACAATGTTGGTTGAAAAGTTTTTTATTCAAACCATCCGACAGAACTACAAATATGAATAAATTCTAAGGTCAAAAACTGCCATTCTGCAATTTGTTTCAATATGAATAAATTAGCATTAAACATTGTTTCAAGCTTTCTAATTAAACCATCTGACAGAACTACAAATATGAATAAATTCTAAGGTCTAAAACTGTCATTCAGCAATTTGTTTCAATATGAATAAATAAGCATTGAACATTGTTTCAAGCTTTCTAATTAAACCATCCGACAGAACTACAAATATGAATAATTTCTAAGGTCAAAAACTGCCATTCTGCAATTTGTTTCAATATGAATAAATTGGCATTCAATATTATTTCGAGAGGAGGGGGAGTTGCTACAGAAATTTTCGAAATTTCAGCGTAGTATACTATGACTTTTGTAGGCTTTGTGACCAAGCTAAATTTTGGCAATTTTTTTGCATTTCAGACAGGATAAAGCGTGCAGAAGGATTAAGCTACACCCTGTATTAGAAGATTCAGGGACGCCAGAGCACAGTTTAGCGCGGGGGAGCTATAGAAAAGTGGGGGGGGGAAAGGGGTTCTTGTAGTTTGCAACTATTATTTTAGCGAACAAGTGGGGGCCCCTCCAAACTACAGTCAACCCAACCTCCCGGATTCGTCCGGCGTGCCTGGGATTCACAGCTTTCATTTGTTTTCATACCCTAGGAAGTACCCAGGCAACAACCCCACCCAGATTGCTTCTTCTTGTACTCATCGGCAGCATCCTGGTCCATGTATTTTCATTTGAATCGAATTTCTCAACACTTTTCAAGCTTGAGCTACCATCATTGCCTCCTATGACATAAATATAGTTATCCATGGCAACAGCTGCATGCGAGCTTCGAATATTTATCATGGATGTCATATGGATCCATATATCCTCTTGAATATCATAACGCTCCACAGTGTCCAGACACGACGACCCGTCACTGCCACCTAAAACCAACACAGCTGAATATTTCATGTATTCATGCCAATTAAAATTATATATTATAGACAAACACCATGAAGGTATACCTAAAATTTTAGATGACGATAGGGCTGCAGAGGGGGTTACAGGGCCTCGAACGAAGGGGGAGGAGGGCAGGGGGGCATGGTCCACTCACTTATTTGCAAGAAATTGAGCTTTCTTGCAAAATATTTTGTTATGGGTCTTTAAGTTACCAATGGCCCACCCCCTCCTCCACTTTCCAACTTTCGTCGGAGCCCCTGAGAGGGAGGCAAAGTTGGGTAAGAACATTGTGCCGCAATTCAAATATATCAAATAAATATTAGCTTTAAAAACATCAATAAAACCTGACACAATAATTTCAGACACCAAGAGATGAAATATATTCCAAAATAATATTTGGCTGAAAAGTAGCACCTAGCTTGTGGTACTAGCAGTCGCAGTAATAACTTTATTACTATTATTTTTTGGGGTTTTGTCAATTTTCGTTTCTATGTTTCCTTTGAAAGGGCATGTATAATTTTCTTGTTTGGCACTTTTATGCTGACTAGGATAGTTGAGTACTCTACCTAAGAGAGGGGAACAGTCATTGATAAACCCTTTTGGATGTAGCTTGTGTGAAAGCTTAGTAATATCTAACATTAAATCAGAAAAAAATATACAGTTTATTGCTTAAGTTATTACAATAAAAACTCCCATAGTATGCCTAAATAGAAATCTGGTGGCTCACAGAATACAAAGCTTAAACATTCAAAATAACTTTACGAAATCTTTCCCCGAGAATGTTCAAATTTATTCAGCTTTGATTAAATTTCGCTGTGTTGAGTATGTTCACAGATACCATGCACAAAATAAGTTCTTGCAGTATTTCTGATTAGAGAAATTTAGGTATCACCACAGCATCATGTTAATCCCCATCAGATACAAGCAACAGACAAGTGTAGCTATACCACTTATTAAAGCAGGTCTCTAGTAGTTGCCCTTGTGATAAGTTAATTAAGAACTGTATGTTGAAGGAACATTCCTATAAATATAAGGGGACTCTAAGATATCCCTAACTAATGTTAGAAAAAACATATAGATACATATGGTAATAGCAAATCATGATTACTTACTGCCAACTTATTTGACAAAATATAGCCCCTACAAATTTTCAAAATTTTGCGAAAATGAGCCTTACCAAGACATTACCTGAATAGCAATTTGACAGATTTAAGAATGAATAAATTATATTTTTACTTTAATCTGGCATTTCACAAGTTATGCTTTCCTTTGAAAAATTTTTCGAAGCCTATTTCTTATTAAAAATTCAAGCCTATCAAAATAATTTAGCAAACTACTTTTTATATAAAAAACATCAAAATGTAGAGCCATTGCTACATTGGGGCATGGAGGTGTCTTTGTCTCTCTCTAGGTGTCTAGGGGTGCTTCATAGCAAAAATTTTAAATCTTTTCAGAAAATAAAGGGTGGCTCACCCACATGATGTGACCAGTGCACCCCTATGAGCACAATAGCTAGCAAAAGCCCTTAGAGCTGCCAAGAACAAAGCATCTCTTAAACCTGAATTACATTCTTTGCATTACAATAGGGTATTAAAAGCAAAGTTTATAAGAAAGAATCAAACATTTAACACCTACCAATTACATAAAAGTAGCCATTGAGAACTGCTGAAGATGCATTGCTTCTTTGGTTTCTCATTGGGCTTTTAAGTGTCCATACATTAGTTATAGGGTCATAAAGCTCAACTGAACTAAGATGACTGTTCCCGTCATAGCCTCCAGATGCAATTAAATATTCTCCAACAACTCTAACAGCAACATATCTCCTGGAGCAAGAAGAAACTAACAGACTTCTTATCTTTGGATGGAACGAATTCTCTTAAAAATTATCTATAAAAAACTTTATATCAATGGCTACTGCAATACAAAGCATCCATATACCTGCTTCTGTTAAAATAAACCTCTTTTGATTATCTAAATTTCTTTAAATATAAGTTAGCCACAGAAAGGAAAGCCAAATTACTAAACTTACCGCCGAAAGGCCATAGGTGCCACTGAAGTCCACTGTTGAAGAAGAGGATCAAATCTCTCAACACTGCAAAGACAAGAAGCACCATCATAACCACCAACAGCATACAGTAAATTATGCAAAACATCCACTCCAAGAGAGCTCCGCCTTGTTCCCATTGGAGCTGAGGAGACCCATTTGTTGCTTTTTGGGTTATACATCTCAACACTAGCAAGGTCCTGGGAACCATCAAAGCCACCCACAGCATAAACCATCCCAAAAGCAGAACCAACTCCAAGTCTTGCACGTCTTGATGACATAGGGGCAATCATAAACCACTTGTTTTTAGCTGCATCAAAGCATTCACATTCACAATGAATTGCAAACAAGCTGCCTCCTCCAATAGACAAGATCAATGGAGACATCCCAGCATTTTTTCGTGGTTTCACACGACTGTTGTGCAGGTATGGTCTCATTTCTGGCAACAAATGGTACTTCATTGCGTCTATTATGAGATCTTTGCAGTTTGGATTGGATCTTACCAACTCATCTGGTTCAACTGAAAACATCAAGAAATCTCTGCTAAGAAGAGGCAGTTTAACTAAAGTAAGAAGGTCTGTAAGATTTTGTTGCCTGTTTGCCAAATCAAACCTTATCCAGCTCATCACTGCTAGATATACTTGTGACTCATCATGCGAATAGAGGTTATCATCTGAAATAAGCTCTATTAATCGTTTAGGAGTGATATGTAAAAATTCCTCAGTTCTTGAAATTTCTACAAAGTTGACCAGTGCATAGCTTTTAGCTATTGATAATAGATCTACGCAACCATGCATGTCAGCAAAAACCAATATTCCAAGACAGTTACACGGGGAGAGTTGGGCACTAAGAAATTTGCAGCAAGCTTCCTTAACCGGCTCGACTTGTATAATAGTTGAGGCTGGAAGCAAAGTTTGCACATTGTCCTCGGATATTTCAATTTGTGACGTATATATAAAGTCAATAATGGATTCAACTGAGGTTGCATCGATATCATGTAATTCTATGGTATTTTCTCTACTCTCAACCATTCCTGCCGTAAACATTGCCTCGAAATATGCACTGGCAGAGGCAAGTACAATTCTATGAGCTGGTATTCTTGTAGAACCAACCACGATTGTAATGTCACACAATTTTTCATCTCTTCTCATTCTGTTCATGTTTTCGAAAGAACCAGTGAAGTAAGTCGGCAGAAAGGCTGGTTCATTTTTCCGACGGGGAGTTGTATCGTTGCCTCCTTCATCCTTGACAATCTGTTCTTCGGCATCGAATGCTCCACTGTGACTCTCCCTAAAAAGTTCACGATTGTCCATGTTGATATCCAACTAATAATTTATCAAGCTGCAATTTTTTCTTGTAGCTTCCATCATATTTTCTGTTGTTTTTATCAACATTTCGTTTTCCTGAGAGGCGTCTACGACATATTGTTCATTCATACGCAAAAATAAAAACAATCTGGATGACATTATGAATAAGACTCGTTTTGATAATGATTCCGTATTTCACAGCGCGGGAGCCAATCGCATTAAGTACGTTTTCCACGTGATTTTTCAATGACGATTATTTATCCATCCACAGAAAGAATCATGACTTCGAATGTTGACTAGTAGGAATAGGGAAGAAGTACGTCTTTACGGTAAAAATTGTTTGTTGTCGTTTGAATGCGACTACTCTTTTGCAGTAAAATTTTTCGTTGCTGCATATTTAGACGAGAAGATGAGCGTCAATTTGCCAAATGAGGCAAAACCGCCCGGAGACACCGAGGTTTCATCGAGCACCAAGGACGATGTGATGAAAACGTGTGAAGGGGCTGGGCAGGTAGCCCTTGGAGCAATGGCAGCGCAACCTGCCAAGATAAAAAAAAGAAACAGAAGAGGCTCAAAAAAACAGCGAAAACCTCGTTACAAATGGAGACCATACCATAAACTTTCCTGGGAAGAAAAAAGAAAATTAAATGAGCGCGACTCGATACGTGCAGAGCGACGGAGGGAAATTATTCGTCGCAAAGGTAGGCCTATTGCCCCGTACAATACAACACAGTTCCTCATGGATGAACACGACACATTTGAACCGGACTTGCGGGACCTTAATCTGGATCATTACAATCAAAGTCCGGCAGCCAATCTTTCAAGGTCGGACGGGGAGGAAATGGAAAGTTTCACATCCGAGGAAAGCTTTTACGAGAAAGACTTCTCGGAAATGTATGAAATATCTCATGCAGAAACTCTTCATGCAATGACAAAAGAAGAATTAATTGAAAGCTATTTGGAGTTGGAAAGGAAAGTTGAGTTTTTAGAGAAGGAAGTCCGGTCAAAACGAAGTTCATGCTCGGTATCATCAGACTCTAGTGCAAACTTGAATCCCGGACATTCTGTTGTAAAAGACAGTAAAAATATTCGGGCACAGAATGAATTGTCAGAAAAGAACAAATTGCTTGAAAAGGAAAATTTAAAACTGAAAGAAGAGCTAAGGACACTTAAAGGAAGTGTGCCAAGTGAGGCGAAATCATGACGCATTTGCGAAATTTTCTTATTCAACAAATTTATAGTGTATATATTTGTATTGTTAATTTAGTTTTATTGGTTCTCTTTCCATACAGGATTCTTCAAAATATGTTACCTCAACACTAAGTAGAACACGTTATGTTTTTTTTCAATTATTTTGAAGAAAATATTTTCCCCCAAAATTTTTTAACTGCTCTCTTCTCAATAATATATTTAAACCCCTTCAGAACTAAAGTCATACCACACTGACTCTGCAGACTTTTCTTTTGACTGTAAATTGCTAAATGTGTATTGCTTTCTTCAAAATAAAGCTAACAATGTCCTATCTTATTCTGCCAAATACATACAATCTCAGATTTAATGTGATTACACTGTAAATTGTTGTATATGTGAATAATGCTCATGATGACATCTAGAAAATGAAACTTATCTCTGTCTCAATTTTTTGTATACATTTTTTCCACATCTGAAAGGATTTTTTTAAGCTACCAGATTTCAGTATTGCTATTTGTCGTGTTTCTACTCATCTACAAGGCCAATTGGAAGACAGAAAATTGTTTAAATCTTCAAAAAGCTGTAATTATTTTTAAACTAAAGTAGATTTCCTACCAGTTAAGGGAAGGGGGGGGGGGTTCTAAAAAGTACTTTAAAGGCTATCTGATATCTTTAAGGCCTATTTTGCTACCTATAGTATGAGTTATGGTGTTACTTTGTCATGGTAACATTGTCATTGTCATGGTAATCTAAACACCATTGCCTGAGAAAGCCAACCACAGAAAGCTCTCTACCAAGCAATTCAGTTTTGAAAGTAGAATCCACCCCCATTACTTACTCAATAATCTAGGAAAATTAAAAAATATCAGAGAAGGCATGTTAATCCGTATTTATACACAATTGAGCGATTGCACTGATACACTAATACTTTTGTCAATCAAAGGGAGGGGGCTTGAACACAGAATTCTGTGGCTTGAATCACCCAATCCAACAAAGCCCCTGCTTGATTAGGTAAATCCCGTGTTTTTCTAAACCAGTTCTCACAAATCCGTGTTACCAAATTTGATTTTTTTAGCCTAAATGGTTCTAGATTTATTGGTACATGGGTAGGAAGTTATTTGAGAGAGGGAGACAAAAACTGAATTTCGACTTAGCATGCCCATTTTAAGAAGTCACATCACCATTTTTCCCAAGTCACTCTTTTACCATTCCCCGTTTTTGGACCAAGTTGGAGGATAACTTTAATTTTTATCGAAGACTTGCCCTGTCTCAATATCCCTGAGTCTCAAAGATTTCAACTCTACGAAAGGGTGCAGCACGAGGTTCTTGTTGTGTACATGGCCACTCAAAGTTATTGAGTTAAAGTTATTGAAAATATTTTCTAACATATTATTGCAAGAAAGTGGGGGGCGGGGGGCTGTAACCCCTGCTAGTTCAATGGTTGCGCGGTGCCTGTGGTAAGGAGCATTATTTTGCATGGTGGGGTGAACCTCCTGTAGTGCCTAACATTACTATTTCATACTCAAAATACTTTCATGAAAACTGCGTTTATCGTAATTACAATTTACAACTTGAACCTACTCTATCTATTTATAGAAAATCATTTGTTGATCTCTAGTTTTAATGCAAGCAACAAGCAAGTTCTATTTGAAAATGCTGCTGGCTCAACAAGATTTCGAAAAAGCTAAATATAATGTCAGTGGCGTACCCAGGGTTGTAGCACTGGGGGGAGGTCTGGGGCGCAGCCCCTAGAAATTTTGTTGGGCCACGCCCTTCAAACACTCGCAAATGCGGGGAAACGCCCTTTTTGCAAGATTTCCCCCCATTATTTGATTCAGGCTAGCTATGGCAAATAGCAAAGCATTTTACAATTGTTATTGACACAAGCATACAGTATACTATTCCCCCCAATGAGTTTTACATCGTTTTTGGACAAATCTCGAGGACCATATTTCAGAAAATTGGGGGGTCCGGACCCCTCCATTCTCCCCCTTGGGTACGCCACTGTATAATATTGAATAGAATGGCTTCTCGTATTCTAAACATTAAATCATTAAATTTTTCACCAAATATTTTTTCATGCATAATTAGCCTGCTATAAGTTTAATTTCTCAATTTCGTTAAAAACTCTACATTCCAACAAACGCTGCATCAAATTTCTAAAAAAATATACGTTCAAGCTATTATTTACAGAAACACCGTACTCAAAAATAGCATACGATGGCAAGTAGTCTCAAGTATTTGGCTGCTATTTTATCTGCTCCGTGCTACATATTCTATACTCATAAAGAAATTTAAAATTCCTTGTTTTCAATATGAAAAGTTTAGCTTTAAGAGCAATTTTGTGAAAACAATTTAAATTGCAAATGAAAACCAAAGCTTTCTTATTGGTATGAAATAATCAAAATGTCACGAATGCAAACAATGACACCAAAACTGATGTCGTCGAGACACAAAATCTTTACTTGGTGTGTCTAGATCTCTATTTCCCATTCACAACTTCTAGACGAGAGATTAGGATAACATTATACCACATCTCTTTTTTCCAGTCACAACTGTCTTTTCTAGACAAGAGATTAGGCTAACTCTATACCACATCTCTATTTTTCATTCAAAACTGTCTCTTCTGGACGAGAGATTAGGCTAACTCTATACCTTACATCCTAGCTAAACACAGAGTAGTTGAAGCTTCAAAGAAAAATACATCCTTTTGTTTAAACTTATCAATTTAATGTTAATAATCATGAATTCTACAGTCTTAAAAAAGTTAAATCCTGTTGAGATAATAAATACAAAATTCATTCTCATAAACGGCTCGCCAGCAACCTTCCTGGGGATGAAAAAGGCTAGAATTTTGACAATATCAATAATATCAAACAGCTACAAAAAATACACTCAATTTGCCCTGTCGGTGGAAATTTAAGTCGACGTGGAAAGAATGGAATGCCACTTCTTTCTAACCACACAGATATTGTTAATTTTTACAGTTGAAATGTGTATGCAGATCCTATATTATTGATAAAACAGATCAGGATCGATTTTCCTAATCTAAGAAAACTGGATTTGCATTAATATTGATGTAAGTAAATGGATACATGGACTCCGACGCAGTTTGGAAAGTGGGGGAGGGGGCATGGAAAAATTTAACAATCATTACAAAATATTTTGAAAAATAATGGAGGGGGCATGGCTTCCCCGGCTTCCCTTCGTCGGAGGCCCTGGGATGAAATGTCTGCCAAAACGTATATGCATAGTGCAGCCTTAATAAGAACTGCGATTGAGCTTGAACTTGCTGCAGGTAACGTAAATAATGTTTTAGAAAGCATTGACGAATTAAGTATAAACAAAACGCCTTTTCTCCCATGTGGAATGGTTGAAAGGTATCTGGGGCAACCAACGCTCGGCGAAATTACGAAAATTACTCGTTCGTAAAAGATCCGTCTTATAAATACAAAACTCTTACCACTAAAATAAAACTAAAATGTTTCTGTTGCTAATTTAGTCAATAAACACTCCGCAAATACACCCGATGTTTCACAAAATTATATTGAAACAGGTACCGAGAATAAGCGACAAACGAAGGCTATGGTGTCTACAGTATTCTCTCCAATTAACGGACACTCTAAAAGGCGGACACCACTGATTAGCCGACAATTTTTTTCCCCTATCGTTTTCTGGTCAAAATCTCATGAAAAACTTTCTAAAAAGCGGACACTTAATTAGCGGACACTCTAATTAACGGACAATATTTTCGTGTTAATTAGCGGACACTCTTAGTTATTCGTGTCACCAACAAAAAACAACCGTCAATTAAAGACTTTTTTTAGCAAAAACATACAGTATGGTAAATAAACATTTGCTTGCAAATTTTGCGTTCGTAGTTGATATCATATATGATGTTGATATCCATTCTTGTTGTAAAAAAAGATTTGTTACGTTCAATTTGGTTAGTTTTTCTCTTTTTTACAAAGGTGGCGCCCGAGATCTTCCGACAGAGGGGTTGGAGCTTCCGACAGGGGGGCTTAAATGACTAAAATATGCAGTTTTCATACGTTACTTTGTCTAATTTGCTCCGACAATAACCAAAAATTTTCTCCGATGCTTCCAACGTTAGATGCTTCCGACGGAGGGACTGTAGCCCCCTTAGCCCTCTCCTGGGATCACCACTGATTACACCTTTTAAATAATAAACTCGGGTCTATTTTCAAATTTGGGACTTACATTGCAAAACTTTCCAATTAGCTCAGGCGGACACTTCCAATTAGCGGACACCTCTCTCTTGCCCCGACGGTGTCCGTTAGTTGGAGAGAATACTGTATTCTGTTGGAAATTCCCTGATTCCAAAAAACATGGGCTAGGTCGTTCCAGATCGATAAAAAAACTATTACAAAGGCTAAGTACCGAGGACCGGAAATTCGGCAGTAAACAGCTGTGAAAATGTTAACTCTTCATCAATACAAGTATGACAAAAAGGGAAAATTAAGGAAAGAAATAAAAATCTGAAAAATGCAATATAAAAAACACAATGGTCTACAATAATTTTTACTACCAGCTTGACAAAAAATTGTAATATGACCTTTAAAGCGCGTCCATTTCTTCTGGCCACTATAAACCTAACCTGTATAGAAATACTGGCTTACATAATTGACTGCAAGACTGAAAGGACCCACGTGACACAGAAATCTGTAAACTCCATACGACTGCCTATCATCCTGTTTGACTAAAGGGCTGACTCTTCTAAAAAACGTTACGAATGAAATAGAATGGTCACAGAACGAGCACGAACACTGTGAAACAGAAGTTGGTATTGATATTTCCTTTGAGGGACATTTTGCCTTAAATGGCACCGTCTTTATAGGTATCCACTGGTACCATCAGATGTAAAACGTACAGTTCGGGATGTCGTTGTTGCTGTCCGGCGAATGTTACTCTGCAAAAAAACGGATATTGAGCCTATTTAATGAAATACTGAAATGATGAAATACTCCAGTAATGGGTTGAAGCAGAAAATATTTGACGCTAATTAACCTAAGCTTTTATTCCCCATATTCTGACCAAATTTTCCATTAGTTTATGATACTACAGGCTCGTTTTACATACGCTGTATAACAAAAAAGTTTGCGATACTCCGAATTATTCAAAAGGCGCACGTTAGCTGAACAACACAGCAACACAGGAGCAAGAAAAGAAGGACTGTGGGAGAGGACAGTAACCGAGAGGAACATTTTATGAACGTGATGAAAAACCCATTTTTAACTTGAACCAACCACTGACGCGCTACTGTGCCGTAAAAAGGAGCTATATATGCGAACATTGTGCGGTGCCATTTCCCCCTAGCGCCTCGGGCAGGTTGGAAGGAAAGAAAAAGAATGTTCGAAAAATAGTACATAGGCCTAAAAATAGTGATTAACAAGTTAGTCACATATCTAGTCACATATCTAGTCACAATATCTGATGCCTTTCTTGGGACAGACACTGAAATCATGGGGCAACACACCCTTAATGATAATATGTACGTACCTCATCACCACTAGACATAGGCTGTGATGATTAACAGTAACTTTGATCCGGTTTTGATTTACCTACAAAAAGCAGTCAATTAATGGTCAGACGTTGGATAACACTTTGTAAGCTATTGGGCATGCGTTAGAAGAGGCGAAGTTCTATTGTTCACACAAACAGTCAAAAATCTAGCAAGCAATTCTATGCTGTATAAAAATGTTTCGTTTAATAACAATCATAGCAAGTTACTCTCATCTCCACTCCATGCGTTTTCTTTGTTTTACTTGTTTTACTTGCTTTTGAAACCTAATTCTTGCTCCCATTGCTCCCTAAGATCGTCTAATTAGCTTTAACTAATATAAGGCCAGGAACTATGATGTTAAGAATAAAGCTGTTTGAAAGACCAAAAACCTTAATCTCCCAACATTGTTCAACAAGAGAGAACTTCAGCTATTAAACCAACAATCAATAGAGACTGTTATTAACGATTTGAAAGGTCCTATTGTACATTGTGACATCCACTCAAATCCTCAAAGTTCGGCTGAATATTCCAAATTCATGGTAGGTGATAAAGCCTTATGACCAAGAATCATAAATCGCTTACATCTTGATGTTGCAATTGTTGATGCTGCTGCTCATTGGACCTTGCCATCTGCTGCACAGATGCCAGCCTGAAATGTGCCAATGAAATTGATCAAATCACACAGAGTTTAAACTACGTTGATGTCTGTCTATAAATTCCAGCAAGAAAAACGAAAACAAGGCCTAATTGAAACGGTTGAAGCAGCTGTGAATTCAGAACATACAGTAACTAGGTTTCGGTTGAAAATGAAATCTCACTCATTAAGCTTTTTCTTTCCGTTTCGATATATCATTCACTTGATTCCAACAGCCATTCAAAACGAACAATACCAACGAAGGAATTAGCTGCCAATACCCCTTTAGAATCAATCAGTTTTCTTTTTTAAATTCTTTATGTTACATTATTTCTTGCTTCCTTGTTTTGTTTTTAACTACGACATAAAAGTGTTGTTTTTGTCATGGCATTTACTGACTTCATTGTCGAGCTCTTATTAAAATATTCTCATTAAATTGTGCGTGAAAGAGATCAGATTTGGTCCAGGTTCTCTTAAAGACTATAACCTGCATTTCCACGTGCTGAGAGTTAAGCAACCTATAAGCAATTCTATTGGCTGAAACCTTTCAGGCTGGTCTGAATCAAGTTTACTATTAAAAAACATAGTAGCCAAACACCCACCTTTGAAGGGTCAACAGCGTCCCTGACAAATGCTTACAGCGTGCATACAAGTTATCGAGATTACCAGGCTCATCCTTCAAAAATCTGTGAAATAAACATTAATTAAAAAAATAACAGTGAAAAGCAAACACCGCCTCTTACAAGTAGCTAATAGCTTTGAATAATTTCGATTTCCCACCCGTTGGTCTTAAGTTTTCACAGAGACTTTCCATTAGTCTTAAGTTTTCTTAATGTACCTAATACATTTATTGCAATAATTTACAATGGGCGCCAGAGCCTCATAATTTATTTACGGTAATCTAGTCACAGAAAAACTTTCTCGAGTCTCATTCTTCGCCACCATATCGGAAAATGTCTACAATAATTCTACTTAACACTCACAGCGAACGAGAGACGAACATTGTGAAGTAGCAGTCTCACAAAGTCGATTCAATTTTGTTCGCTGTTTTCTCGAAAACGGACGATTATTATGCGTTATGAATAAATGGTATTTTGCAACGAAAACAGGTTTATCATGCTGAATTCAGCAGAATCTACATTATTAAGAATGAATAATTTTTGATGGAGTGGCCCTTTAAATCTTTACTTCAGCTTCTTACATGCAAAATTTGATGATAGTATAAATAAATTACTAAAAGATTTTAAAAGGAGGAAAGGCTCTAGTCATATTGTTAAGTGTAAATGATTAAATTCTACAGCAAAAGGAAGAACGGTGGAGGAACATAGTAAAAATTTCTTGAAAACGACTTCGTCAGAACTGAGGTCCTGGAAATCTTTCTCCAGGAGCAGAGTATGTCATGCAAATTTTGTCACTTTTAAATGCATTTGCAACATGCTTATTATATATTTAGCAAGGTGTTTATTGAAAATTACTGTTTACCGGTCTGTCATAATGTGCTAGATGCCGTATAGACAGAGCCGTACAAGCTTTTGGTAAATAGAACCGGACGGTTCTAAGTTGTTACTCTAAAGTTCACCCTTAATGCAATCATCAGGCAACTGATTATCACAAGATGTTTAAGTAAAAGAACAAATGGTTACCTTTCTTCGTTGACAATAATTTCTAGCTCGCCAGCCATAACAATTTTCAACATATCATGAAGACCGGAAAAACGACCTTTTGAAAAAAAGAAAAACTTTAAGTTTTCATATGATTTTAGCTAATCCTACAGAAATTCTAGCAGCTATGTACAAACTTTCGCCTACTTCTGCCTAGACAACAATGAAAAAAGATTCATCCTTTCTACCATGAATTTAATGAAACGTAACTCAGCTCTTTAAAACCGGTACAGGTCTCTCTAAAATTTCCTAATTCTCTAAAATTCCTTCCTAAAATTTGCGTATTTCCCTTAAGGTAATTTGATTACAATTAAATGAAGAAAAATTAAAAAGACTTACTTTTCAATTCTGCTAAAGACTTTCCAAGCGACTCAAGATCTGAGTTTAACCTGTGCACGTGATTTGTCTCAAGTACGCATTTGCGCTGCACCACGTCACGACGCAGGCGCTCTGTTTCCTCTTCAAGTCGGCTGCGAAAAAAAGACAGCTCTAACAATTGATAACATTCTTATCGTGACTAAAGGATTTAAGAAATCGGTTTTCGGGAAATCATTGACAATATCAAAGAAAATTCACTTCTCCGCCACGCTTCCGAGGTGGTCAACAAAAAATTATTTTGAAACTCACCTAAGGTGTGTGCTTGTGTTGTTCTGCCTCTTCATGTAAGAGTCATAATCATCTTGGACCCGGAAGCGACGGTCTCTAATAGAATGCCCACTGCCTACGCAATAGAAAACGCTGTTAGCGAATGGATTCTTCTGAATACACATTACGAATAGAACGATATTCTTTACTGATAGCAAACATGTTCTAACATAGTGGTGTCAATTTACAAATATCCCTTGTTTTTGTGCATTGAGGCATCTGTCTTGAATTGCTGTTCCCGAAAATCCCCTTAAAAGAGCTCATCTTAAAATAGGGAACATTATTTGTACCATGTACTGCATATACAAAAAAATAATTCAGCGGCTAAAATACCTTAATGCTGTCTTGTTAAAAAGACAGAGGCTAAATATATTTGCAAATATTTCTGGTACTGTTGCCAAAATTCGGAAACTGTTGCCAAAGTTCGGAAACGTGGTAGGCTTATTGCATTTATTGGATGAGGAAAGACATTTAATTCCCTGCTAAGCGTCTTCCTCAACAGGTATCCCACTTGCGTATGAATCAAACGCAGGTCTATCTTCAGGACTCGCCGTTTTCTTTTTTTCAATATAAAAAAACATCATAAAGAAAAGCATAATGATTTATTGTGGCCTTACTCTTTCCAGTGCGTTCGTTTTGGGATACGGTGGCTGCAAGAGCATTAAAGTCGTGCAGAGATTGGTTGATAAATATCTTGAAGTTGCGGGAATGGTTGGTGTGCAGCAAACGGAGCTCGTCGAGCTGACTGCGCAGTGTCAATATACTGTTACGCAGCGAGGCGGCTGAGCTAGCAATCCCGATCATTCTGTCCATTTGGAAAGGCGAGTCTTGCACCTTGGTTCTTGTGGTTGTTGTTGTTGAAGAAGCCCAAGACTGCTGCTGCTCTTGCGACCTGGTTGGACTGCCCATGCCTTTCAATGTTTGCACGGCTATACGACTGGACGGATTCCTGCTTGGTGTGGCTGGTGGTGACGTCACTTGGTGTGGCTGGTGGTGACCTGCTTGGTGTGTCTGGTGGGAGCCTAGGTGCGAAAGATTAGTTGCTATTTGAATAAAAACCGAGCCATAGGGGATTTGTTAGAATATTATTTTAGTAGTTATGAAACTTCTTTTGGGGTGCTGGTATTGCAACACAGTGCAGGAGTTCTACTTCTCATACCGATTACCATGGAGAAAGCACAAGACACGAAAGAGAGAGAATATTCTCCATCGGTAAACATTATATACAGAAATTTTAGGGTGGTACTTTTGTTACAGATGAAAAGTTTCTGCGATCAGTCAGGCAATAATCAATCAAAATACCAAGAAAACATTGAAAAAGAGATTAGCATTTTCTTCTAAATATATTTATAGTTTCAAACATTGAAACGGTGCAGGATAAACAACCCCCCCCCTATTAGAATGAAAATAACTCACTACTTGCAGAAATCCTTATAGACGAGGCGTTACTGGGTCCAGATGGACTTGTAGGACTCTGCAGGGACTTCAAAAGAGAGTCAGCCAAGCCAGACTCGTACGTTTCTTTCATTCTGCTGTCTTTCATGTAAACATTAGGGCCGTCATGCATATATCCTTTATCTGTGTCCTCTTCACTGCGCTGCCTTGGAATTTCAACAGCTTCAAAACAGACAGAGCAATTAATTTCAATAAAAATGATGATAGTTATACTAATCAATAAGCAATCTTAAGAAAAGTTCTTGTGATTCTCAATATTTATACGTTAAGACCATGATTGACAGTCAGGGAAGGTCATTAAAAACCAGACGAAGAGCAAAATATTACGTAGGTGGGTCAACCCTGTCATATCTGGTTTCATGGAAGGAGTGTCTGCTTGAGAAATTGGTCAATAGAGAAATTTGTTACGGCAGCCACAAAATTTCACCAAGCCAGCTTAGTGTAGGAAATTTAATACAAAAAAATTTGGTGAATCAAACGTTTCTAATTGGAACACCCCAAATCTGTGAGAAGCTTTACGATTTTCCATTGTATTATATATGTATTATATACTTGGCATTTGATATCTACCGAAAAACAATATTTGCGTCTAACTTACTTTTAGTGTAAGAGCTGTAGTTAAAGTTTAAGTCCTCTGCAGGCCCTTCGACTTCACGCTTCTTTGCTTCAAGGAGAGCAGTTGGCGCGTAACAACTACCCTTTGTGGGTGACTTAGAGTAATTTTGTTCCGACAACGCAACCAAGTTTCCGATGACATCAGGATTCAATTTGCCCGGCATTCGATCTCGTTCTGAGTATCCACTGTCCTCCTCGTCAGATTGCATTGCTGTGTGAAGGAGGTTCGTCAGATCTGCTAATTGTTCTTCAACTGTAGGCCTACATCAACAGAAATTATTCGTTAATCAAAATTTCATTTAAGAGAGACTACCAAGCATTTAAAACTTACAACTGCTGTATGAAAAGTCACGAGTTATTGATCTCTAATACTAGCCTAGATACACAATCTACTTGTTGTGCGCTGAAAGAATTGCTAAAAAATTAAAGAAAAAGAAAAGTAATAAAGTATATTTAAGAGAAAGCTACGTTGCTCAGAAATCGACTAAGGAGTCGACTTTTGTCTTCTGCCAACATTTAGGAAGTCTAGTAAAGATTAAGGACCATTTCCCAAAAAAATACACAAAGGAAACAGGAAAAGAACATTTAAACGAAAAGAGCCCGCGGCACATCGAGGGCTTATCGAAGATTAAGCCACAGAGACTTAACATAGAGACTGAATTTTCTTGAAAATCCAAAGAGATGGTAAATGAGATCTGGGTTGATTCTATACTGTCACAGACAGATGGAAAATAGATATAAAGAGAAGAATGTCAAAGTATATTGTTATTGTCTGTTTTCCTAGTCAATATCTAAAACGCAATCGTGTGTCTTGAGTCCAAGTGATAAACTGGATTTTGTTATATGCAACAATAATTGTAAAACAAGCCAACCAGTATGATTCTTTTGCCAAACTCCCATTATGAGCTTCAGACATGTTGGGTGGGCTTTTAAAACATGAAACCAAAGTTTTTTAACAACATCTCGTGATACATTATCCTCTCGGTTAGAATTCTCAGTACAATAAAACTATTAATTGTTAGTCAATCATCATAATTTAAATCTTATTTGAAAGGAAAGACTAGGGCTGTACGTGAAAAAGCATTTTGTCTTTATTTTCCAAATACAAATTATAATTCAACAGACATCTTTTCAACCATTTAAGAAAGATAAATTAGCAAACGGGTTTAACGTCGCCAGCTAGTTGCAGAATAATATCTGTCGGTGGGGAAAACACGGATATTGCCGTTTAAGTTAAGACAGCTCGAATGAAGGAAGAAATCACAGCAAAAGAGCATAAAAACAAACTATTTTAAGATAAACAAAAAAATAACATGAAAAGAAAGAGGAAGTGCTAACCAAACGGAAGGAAAGATAAGGTTCACTAGCTTGCTTGCTATTTGTAAATACAAATTACACACAAATCGATTGTATTATTAGTAAACACGTTACTTTATTAAAAACTACATTATTAAATATAAAACTCACCCCTTATTTTCACGCTCACTCGGTTTCCGTTGCTGCTTTAACTTCGGTGGCTCTGCGAGCTTTATAGGCTGTCTGAGAACCTCTTGCTCCATTCTGTTTTGTTTTACTTCGTAACGTGTGTTTGAGGTATTCCGCTCTTCTACGCGAATTTCCTTTTTTGCGCTCCGTGGTGATAAAAACCCACTGTTCACATATGGTCCTTTTTCCGCTGATTGGCTGTAATGTCGCATTGGCCTAGTCAAAACAGAATCTGACCGTAGCGAATCGCCAGAGCCAGACCTTGGCCGTGTCTGAAAATCTTGCAGAGATTCCGCATATTCTTGACGTTCATTGGTCCGTCGGCCCCGAACCGGCAGCGTACTGTAGCCGTAAGGTGGTGGGTGTCGATTATCAAATGAAGTCATATCGTTCTGAGAGCTCGAAAGCGAATCGTAACTTGTAGTTTTCTCACGAAGCTGGACGTGTGAACGAGATTTTACATCTCTGCAAAAGAACGAATTTTTTAAAATGAGCTCGTGTACAATGACCTACCGTCCCTGTTCAAATACAAAGTTTACTGCTCGAATTAAAAACGGGGGACCTCGCTTAACATGCATTAACTTTCAAAAAAAGCTTTCTAAACCGGACTGATCTACACAAAGGCAACAAGCTTTCCGCATTTAAAAAGCTAAGACTACCACAATCGTATTGCAGGTATGAAGATTGATACAAAAATTAAAGCAAATGATGTTTTGTTTATCTCAAAATAACAAGCGTCATGATATTTTTACATTATGACTTGCTCGGCAACAATATTGCATTTCCAATACCGAATTACGCCGCTTTTGCAGCTGCGTTGCTGAATTTTAAATGCCTGTACCGAGGGGAAATTCACTCTTGCATAAAACGTAAGAGATTTCCACAAAACAAGAGGATTTATAATGATTATTCAGAGAGTGAAGTAGAGTTTCGTCATCGAAATGTACGGGATTTTCATCGAGTAATGTGCCTCTAGCTAGATCCTTCGAACCTGTAAAACGCTGAGCTGAAAATGTGACGTAAGGTTATACTAACTGCTCGCTGAGGTGTATAACTCTAGGAAACATGTATAAATTTGCATTGGTAAAGAAATGTAAGGAAACGATGTGAAGCCCTGAAAGTCAACAAAGTTCTACCTGGCAAATATTATCAACGGTAAACTTCAAATAACCAGAGAATACGGCACTTGAAAACGTTGAAAATCTCCAAGCCATAATAAACAAATATTTGCTGCAGACCACTCTTGCCTTAATAAACAGAAAGCGTCTGAAGACAGATTACCTATTGGAAAATGTTACCAGCTTATCAAAATTCTTAACCAAGTACAAGCTACATTTTCTCTTTGCTAATGAATTCTACAAAGAGGTCACTTACTCGAGCCTGCAAAGCAAATCGTCAATTTTTCTTCGAACTTACACGTACCTTTTAATTTAATGAGGTACGAATCACACATACATTAAACATAAACAAAAGGCCTTGTCCCCATATCCCTTGCTCCTGACCGCAGGTAAAATATGGTTATACATCTTTTGTTGAGTGCAATTAAAAAGTAATTAACAGAAAAAAGTTGGTTAGGCTATTGATCAGCTGAAAAAGCCCTGGCAACAGTTGTCAGATGACCAGGAAATGTTCGCTTTTCGTAAACAATAGCTAATGTTGTGATCAAAATGAAATTTCAACAGCTAAATACTAAAGGAGTTAATTAACAGAATATGCTTCATCGGGCATACGTGAAAATTAAACAAACATAGAGACAAGGGGAGATATTTGATGAAAATGGCAAGCAATTTAGCATATCAAAATTGCAGTGTTTTGTATCCAAAGCAGCTCTCCATAAACATTTATGACACTCGACAATATGGGACAAACAGAATGATTTTTAAGAGGCTAGGTCCTGACGTTTGACCAAGGAAACAATCGGCAATTAAAAGCCAGAAATATCAGATATATTTGGGAATACATAATACGCTTGATTTTCGCAACAGGTATGTGATATAAAGCATGTAAAATCATTTTTCGGTAGAACTTTTGTCCCTACTTCATATGACCAAAATTTTTTTTGCAATTTTCGTGGGTTGAAATTTTGCGCTGGTGTCTCTTAAAAGTCTAAGGAATAATTCAAAGAAGAGACGTTTGCTCCTTCATAGTGACGCATTTGGAAAACAACGAATATGCGTGGAAACGTGGAAACCAGAAGCTGTCTGTATTGATTGAATGAGTTTCGCTGAAAATTTGAAACCAAGTGTATTTTGAAGAGAGTTAAGTCAACAACTGTGATCCAGAAAGCTAATAATGTGGACAGGTGTTCTATGACGTTTCAGATAGTGTTTTCATTTATTGAGTTTATTGATTCTACAAGGTGCTTTCAACTAAAATAGATCACAACGTACATTGAACCAATGTTCATGTTGTACATTGAAGCCTCCAAAAACGGACATCTGGCAACAACAGATATCTTAAACCACCCTACAAACACCCTACAAACAGTGGACACACCTGAACAACTGACACCTCCAAGCAACGGACACGTGACCCCCTATAAATCTTGCTATTGTGTGCGTCCGCGATACGATTTTTGTCTCAGAACTGATCGACACAAAATACGGTTGATGAATCTCCATTTAAGTAAAAAGCACACAAAAAATAGGACATACAGATACTAATTAAGGCTAATCATTGTGAAATTCTCTCTTACGGATATACAACAAAGTTATTCAGTACGTAATCAACAGTGGTGACAATGTAAAAGCCGGATAAAGGTGACTTTTTCACCATGTTGATGAGATTAATAGCCATTTTTAAAGGATTATGAAAGCAGTTTTCGATATTGAAGCACCTTATATTGTAAACCTAACTATATAATGTTATATTTTCTATGTTTTGTTATCTTTGTGTGATACAAATGCAACTGCTTTTATATCAAAACTCTGGTCTCTTTGTTTGTTGGCTTTGGCAAGGGCTACCTATCTACGTTTTCAATGCTTATCAAAAGAGAAACAATTGCAAGAACAATGTGTTATCAAAACCGACAAGGCTAGTCAAGGCAAATCTTACAACCTCGACCTGAGTGCAAACAGAAATTCATTACCTTAGAGAATAATTGTATTTCACGATGTATCTGCGTTTCGGAGCAGCCATTTTGAAACATCAGGACGTACTCTAGAGCTCCTCTTATCAATTGCAACACACGGGTAAACAGGCCCTCGACAATACCATTGATAAAAAAATCCAGGACTCAATGGTCTGTTCCAAGTATCATCAGACGAAGCGGCGGGTAACAATAACCGCCATTTTTAACAAACTGCACACACGGCCTTGCCTGGCAATGCAGCAACAGATTTCCCCTTCCTTTGAAATTCCGTCAAGGCAAGACATGTGCCGGTAACAATTACAAACGAAATTTTGAAACCAATGTCAACTTTGAGAAAGGCGAGCTTGTAGAAACATGGCTAACTTCGTTTACTTAAGTATTTGCTTGTAGTTTTGTTAGCCAAAAAGCTGGACTGAAGAATTTTTCATCGATTTGTCAGCACAACATCAAAGAAATTGTAGATTATGAATTTTAAACATTGATTTAATCCGTAATCCTGTTATATTTTGCTTAACAGAGCGTTTTTTGTTGTTTGACCTAGAAGAAACTCGTCTCAGGAAGATAATTTCAGAAGCTGAAAGTGGCCAGAATTCTGCGCCAGACTGCAGATAAACAACCCGCTCCATGGTGCGCGTGGTTTAATTTGTTTTCTAGCTCCGATTCGGTCACAAAATATGTTGTTCAGAGTCAATTTCGATCAAATACGAAAAGTGATTAAGTGACACGGGTTGATTGGCTTAAAAATTCTTTGAAAATACAGGATTCAAGCCAATTTGCCAAATAGAAAATTGCAAAAAGTGGCACAGGCCGAACTTAAGGCCTAATTTTCTAACTGTCCGGACAATATTTTTCCGAAAAATCAATTTTGTTGCTTACTCTTGCACCGTGGTGTTTGAGATATTTATAACAATGAAAAAAAAACATTTTAAGATAGATGCATCGCGAATAATTTTTCACCAAATTAGCAATTCTCGTTAATGTTGGCAAAAGCGCGATATGTTAATATTGCCCATAGTCCATATTTACCAGCTTTCCAATTCAAATTCAGGATTTTACTGCTGGTTTGACGCTCTTTGACTTGGTAGTGCAGAGAGGACCAGCGGAGGAGCATTTTGGTAGAGGGACTTTCATTTCAAGTAAACGGTGATCCTCTGTTCGTTTTCTTAACATGAATTTGTGTGCTATTGTTTTTAGAATGTCACACTCTTTGAATTCAACTGCAATGAAACCTAACGGACATCTTTCAATGAACAAAGGACACCAACAAACAAAGGACAAGTCATTTTGTCCCGGTAGTGCACCCTTATTTGGTACGTTACTTAGTATAGAACAAAGATTAAAAATATTCTTGCAGTGATGTAAAACCAAACGAAACTCTCATGGGTTTCAACGATATAAACTACTTTGTCTTTCTATACACTAGATTTTTAACAAAGCTCGGGATTAGCACTCTCTGTCTTTGCGCCAGACGTTTCTGTAAGGTTTCTTCAATACCAAATGCTCAGTAGCTACAGTTCAGAAACGCAACAGCACAATACAAGGTAATATGAAAAAGAACACCTAACAAGTCACAAGGTGCCTTGCATTTTCTATTTATCTGTGTCAATTTAACAGAAAATAGGTGCCTTATCGTAGAAAATACTTACTTCCATCCCATCGGTATTGTATTGTATTGTATTGTATTGTATTGTATTGTATTGTATTGTATTGTATTGTATTGTATTGTATTGTATTGTATTGTATTGTATGGTATGGTATGGTATAGAAAGATTTCGAGCAGTTTCTTATCAAGGTTGAGGGTGGTGAGTTCTATGGTTTCCTAATATTTTGGTCATCAAAGGACTCGGTTTCTTATGTCAATGCATAACTATTAGAATTACGTGCAAAACTTCCATTTTATATCCAGCATTAAAAAATTCACTACCAAACAGTTTCATGATATAAAGAAAATAAACGAAAATGAATACCAAAGCTCATTAGTGGTGATAATCCAGTCTTTAACACAAGCAAATGATGAAGGTTTTTATTAGCTCTCTTTAGTCACGAACCAAGGTTACTTTGCAGCTTTCTGTAAACACTTCTACTAAAAGATGAGTGAATCGTCAAAGTTGTCACTTCTCTCTTGGTGTGGTGCAAGGCAAACAAGCAAACATTGGAAATAATTCTCGTTTTGATAATCATTTGACTTTGATTAAAGTTTGAGAGCTTCTGTCACTCAACCAAATTCCTTAAAAGAATGCACTCATCCGACAATAGAAAGATTCCTTTAAATTTTCAGAAACAAGCAAAGGATACAAAGATGAATAGAGAGTGCAGGAACAAACAAAATTTGCAGTATTGAAAAGCGATGTTTGAATAAATTAATTTGCTAAAATCCAATGCAATTGGAAAGGAGAAAAAAGCGATCACGAAAGCCTTTTGCCTACCTCTCAGTGAGCAGTGGATTTTTTGGTTCTCGTGACATCCAGGTCCGCCGAGAGAGAGGGGCAAGGGGGCAATTTGCCACAGGGCTTCAAGGTCTAGGGAGCCTCATTATTTTTAATTGATAGTTCTTCTGTTGATATTTCAACGTTAATTCTTTTTTTTAATCCGTGTTTTATTTATTTTTCTCCCACATCTTATTTTGGGTACTTTTAAAATCGAAAAAAGGTTTCATTACGAGCTATATGATAGTGGTTATTCTAAAACTTTGCGAAACTTTTCTATCTCAAGTCAACATCACAATAGACGCGACTATGTGACACCTTCAGTCAAAATTCGTTTTAGATACAGTTTCTGGCCATCCCTAAGACACCATAATTCTAAAATTGTTCTTGCTGCCAACCATGGTGGCGGCCCCCTTTCAAGACTCTGATATTTTAGCCTCCACTTTCAAATATGTTTCGCCGGCCCTGTAACATCAACAATAAAAAGAATCCAGAGAGGGAGACTCATGGTATACACAGGGGTTACTAAAAATAAGCAGAATTGGTTAATAAATCTGATTCTGAAGTCTTTACACACAAGTCTGTTTCTAAAGCCGCGAGGACTACAGTACCAATCTTTTCTCTTGAAATAAGGTATCCTTTGACAAGTGTCACTTTGTTCACATAGACGACAAATCATGAAATATAGATTTCCCAGCCGGAAACTTTTTTCATAGCAATTGCTGACCGCGGTGTATCCAGGGCTGTCGCCTATAAGGTGGCCGTATGGGGGTGTGAACAGCCCTCCTTGGAAGAATTCCGTTGCAAACAGAAGGATTGCTTTT